GGAACCTACCCCAGGTCACACAGGAAGCCAGTGGCTGAGCTGAGGCTCAATCCCTGGTCTCCAGACTCCCTGGACAGCCCTGTTCCTACTTATGGGGGAAAAAGGATGAAGCATCTCCTAGTACAGTGCAGAGTCAACACACACGAGGCACCTGCTTTCCAGCGCCTCTGAGATAGTTTCCAGAGTCTGTGTGCCCTTAGGTGCCGTGTACGGAAAAGGCCCTCCCGAGACGCCCTGGACGCAGATGCCCAGTGTCATGGCCACCACCGGTCCCACCTGCTGAGCTCCTCTTCTCTCCTAGGCTGTCCGTGACAATCAACAGGAAGAAGAACATGGTGGTCTCCTTCGGAGATGGGGTTACTTTTGTGGTCATCCTGCACCAGGTGTGGAAGAAGCATCCTGTACACCAGGACTTTCTGGGTTTCTACGTGGTGGACAGTCACCGGATGTCGGCACAGACGCATGGACTGCTGGGTATGGAATGTTCGAGCTTCAGATTGTTCAGGACACATGGCAGAGGGGAGACGACCCAGGAAAGATTGTCCCAGTCACTCCAGACCCAGCATCCGACACCCTGTCAGCCTTTGCGTCAACCCCGGAAGGCTGGGGCCATGTTCCCTCTGGTGTTGGCAGGGGCTCACAGTGTGCAGGGGCCGACAGTGTGAATGTTTTTTGTTCCCAGGACAATTCTTCCATCCCTTTGACTTTGAAGTGTCTGACATCCACCCAGGCTCTGACCCCACAAAGCCAGATGCCACCATGGTGGTGAAGAGCCATCGGCTGACGGTCACCAGGTGACGGGACTCCTCTGGAGAGCCCTCTCTGCCCACACCCGTGGGTCTGGTAGGCTCTTGTCTCCTGTGGGGCACCTACCCTTGTTTCTCTCCAGGATCCTGACCCCCCCTAGGCCCCTCCTAATCAGGAAAAGGCCAAACTCAGCTCCCTAGAAGGAGCTAATCATTTGATTTCCTTCTTGTCCAAAGAGTTCTAGAGTCTTAGAATGAGCAAATTCACACCCTTTTCCTGCTTGAAGTCCATGAGCCTAGCAGCTATGTGGTCCACACTGCATCACAGTGTCTCTTTCCTTTTTCCCAGGGGCTCCCAGAAAGACTACAGGAAGGATGTCAGCGTCGGCACCAAGGTCGCCTGCTGGTTTGTCCACAACAACGGGGAAGGGCTGATCGATGGTGTCCACAGTGACTACATCATCCCCGAGTTGTTCTGAGCAGACGTGCCAGCTCCCGTTCCGCTGAGACGGCTGGCCCAGCCTGCCTGGCATTGGGAACCGGCCCAGAGCAGGGCCCGAGGGAAGGCTGTGACAATAAAGCCCAAGGGGACGCTGCCACCAGCCTCTGCATGCCTCTGTGAGTCCCTGCTCCAGAAACAGACCATTAGGCCCCGAGGTGGCTCCAAGGAGGGGCTGGGGGCTAGAAAAGTAACTCTCTGGGCCTCTCCTCTGATGCCGGTGAAAGATGGGGTGGGTTGGGACCGTGCTTTGGGGAGCCAAATGTCTGACGGTTTGGGAAGGAAAAAACCAAGAACTGACTCTGGTGCGAAGGGGCTCTGAGAAGTCGAGAAGGGTTGAGTGCTTCCCAGAGTGCAGGAGGGTAATAAGGAAAGTCGGGGGTCATGGCTCAGTGGCTCCTATCAGGCCCCCCAGGCCACCCCCTCTAGCCAGCCACCCCCACCATCCACCAGCTAGCCCCCATCCACTAGCTATCCACACCCCTCACCCATCCACTAGCCGGCCAGCCCCCCACCATCCATTAGCCACCCTGCATCCACTAGCTACTTACCCCCCCTCATGCATCCACCAGCCAACCCCCACCCACTAGCTAACCATCCAGCCATCCAGCCAGCAGATAAACCCAGCATTCTGATTCTGGGCCAGAATCTGGGGGCACACAGCCCCCAGTAACCCGGTTCCTCTTTGCATGGGTGCCCCACGTTCGCTGGCAGCTAGGCTGGGAATCCCTTCGATCTTCAATCACCACTCATGGTCACCACCCGCTCCACCCCCATAGTAAGTCCTGGGGGTGCCAGGGGTCAGACAGAGAGTCCCAGAGGTGGGGCTCTGAGGGCTCTCAGTCAGGACAACCCCCTCCCACCAGGACAACTGCAACACCCCTTCCTGGGTCTCCCTTCTTCCACAAATTGATTTTGTAGAGCAGAACTGACCGTCAGTCTCTGCCTAAAACCCTCTAAATAATACTTCCCACCGACTGATCTTGGGACAAAGGCCAAAGTCTTACCTATGGTCTCTCTCGCGTCACCAACCCCACACACCAGGTGGTTCCCTCACTTTTGGGGTTCCAGTCACACGGACTGCTTCCAGTTCTGCAAACCTAACCCCTCCTGCCCCGGATCCTTTGGCTTTGCTGTTCTCTCTGCCCGAGGGGCTCTGGGCGCACTGTGCGGAGGGCACCCAGGGTAGGAAGCTGCGGGCAGCTTTGCTTGACAGCAGAGCACGGCCACAACCTCCTGGAAGAGGCGGGGTTAGGTTGGGAACGGCCACAAATGCCAGCGGGGGTGGGGGTGGGATCTGACGATGGGTCACCAGGATGTTCCCCTACCTCCCACTCCAGGGGCTCATCTGCCTGAGCCAGAACAGGGTTCCCCAGGACCTGGGGGCCAGGAGGAGGGTCCTGGGAAGGCCGGTCCAGGAGAATACATATGCGGCCAGGCCCTGCCACCCATTTGGTCTCAGGTGGACTGAGGAACACGTAACTTTAAACCAGTCAGTTTTCACACCTGTAAAATGGGGAGAAAGAGCTTGCCAGAGGGGGGAAGACATCATGATCATGATGTTTCTGATCCTCTTGAGGCGCCTGTCTTTGTCCCATACCCCAGCGAGCCCCCCAGCCCCAGTGAGTTGGGAGAAAGGCAGGAGGAGTTCCCCAGGCACAATTCCGCCCCTTTCCCCCAATACACAGTCTGGGAGGCCCTCCATGCAGGCAAAAATCTGGTGGACTGTGTCCTCTTCCCAGTCCCACATCACCCTGGTTATGCCTGTCCCTGCTTATAGCCTCTGATACCTCCCCCAGCTTTCAGGAGAGAAGCCATACTCCATGGCGAGGTGCACACAGCCAGGGCTGGGCTGGTCCAGCTTCTCCACCTCTCCAGCGTCCACTTCCACCTGACCCCGTGGCACTGCTCTCCTCCACCTTCCCTGAATTCAATGCACAGCGTTCTGGCTCTAGGCCTAGTGTCCTTGCCCTCCATTTCCACTGGGCTAATCTCTCTTTATTCTTCAAAATGCAACCCCAACCATGCCACTTCCAGGAAGCCTTCCCTGATATTCCCCAGGTTGGACAAAATGTCTCCCCGTGGGCTCTTTGGTCTCTGGGCGGCAGCTCTGTCAATAGACGCCGTGTCTCCTGTGGTACCCAATGTACCTGCCGCTCCTGGCCCAGGGGCTGGCCTAAGTGAGGAGCTGGAAAGCACTCAGGGAACAAAACAGCGAAGGGCACGGAGCTCCCTTCAATTGCTCACAGAGAACACTGGGCCAGAAAGTCACCCATGACCCCTCCCCTGGTGTGCCAGTTCCACAGCCCAGCCCAGGCGGAAGGGTCCCAGAGTGGGGAGCTTGGGGTGGGCACGCGTCTCATTGCGGGATGTTAGCACTAGCACCACAGCAAGTCGGGCAGAACCCCTGAGGCTGCTCCCTTCTCTCAGGGCGCTGGCCTGAGCCCCTCTGAGCAGCCTTCACAAGGTGATTCAACCCATGACCCTGGCCCTCCGACCAGGCTGGATGGGGAGGCAGTAGGGCGGCGGAGGGTCCCCTGATGCTGGAGACCCCTCCCACTGGCCTCTCCGCTGACCCTTCTAGCAAGAGTCACTCTGCAAACATTCTGTGAAGCCCTACAGCTGAGAAAAGAACATTTTCCCTGGTGATCTCGTTTGCTTCCTCCCAGAGAGCTGCCGAGCTCATTTCCTGCTTCACCCCGGCTGCCAGGACGCCCGGAGTGCACGCGGGGTTCTGTGGCTCCCTGCCCGGACCTGCCAGCGGGGTGGGATCAGACCTGCCTCTGATCCGACTTTCTCCCCTGCCTGCCTCTCCTCTTTGATCTCAGCCTCCTGGTTTTGTTTTGTTCTCTTGATGCTTTTTATCTGTAAGCCAAAGACGTGTGTCATTTTTGAAGAAGTGGGGAGAGTCATGTCAATGGTTGTTTAAGTATGCTTTGCCTATGCAAGGGTTGGGGCCCTCTCTGGGGTGCCTAACCCCGGGGCACGGATGGCAGAGCAGACCCTGGGCAGCCTGGGATCCGGGAGCACCCCCATGAGACTAGAGGCTCCTGGGGGCAGACCCTGGCTTCCTTCCTGGGGCCGGGGCCTCCCCTCTGTATCATCTCTGCCGGGACCGGCCCCTCAACAGGGCAGTGAGCAGACAGGCCTGAGCCTGAGCACAGGGGTGGAAATCAGACTGTGTCACACAAATCCTGTCACCAAGGGGCCCCAGAGCTTGCTGAGAACCTCGGGGAGTTGGCCTCTAAAGAATTTCTGCCCAGTCTGTGCCCACCTGGGGACATATGTTTCTAACCAGAACTTCTTACACACTTCTTTTTTTTTTTTTCTGGTCAAAACCGGTTTCCACAGATTGAGTGACCATAAGGCTTAGGACTAAACCTTTGTTCCCAGAGTATGTTCTCCTCTCCTAGATCCCCAGCTGGGTGCTGGAGCAGTATTTTATTTTATTTTATTTATACTTATTTAAATTCAACTAGCCAACACAGAGTGCTTCGTTAGTGTTCGATGTGGTGTTTCATAACTCATTAGGTGTGTATAACGCACAGTGCAGGGCAAGATTTTAAATGAGTGGCTGAATCTCTAAATCGTAGCTCCTCTGCTTGTAAAAAGAAGAGACTGCACTGAAAGTTTGCCGTGGGGCTTACTGGTCACAGGCCTTTGAGGGGCTCATGGTAGAAGATTCTAAGATTCTAAGATTCTAATTCAAATGTGGGATTTAGCCAGAGGCAAACAGAGATGCTCATTGCCTGGGCTTATGGCCCGGTGTTTATTTGTAATGAGTCAAAAATATCCTCCCCATCGTAGCCCAGGCCCCACAGGCCACCCTCCGGTCACAGGGTGGCTGTCCTCTGTACACCTCTGCGGGGATTGGGGGGGTACGCTTGACCCCTCCATAACTACAGCTCCACAGACCAGCAGGAAATCTCTGTTCCTGGGGACCCCTCTTGGTAATCCAGTTTGAGCAATCTGGGATGGGAAAACGACAGACAGAAAGACAGATGGTCAGCAAATCTCAGGTGTGATGGGAAGAGACGGAGATAACTAGGGTTAGGAACGGGGAGGGTGAAGAGTCTCAGGGCCCTTAGAATTTCCGCCAGTACCCGCTGGCAAGGCCGGTCACCCAAGTGGGCGCAGCTGTGTGTGGTCCTCGGGGTCTGGGGCTCTGACACTTTGGGAGGAGTTTCCTACTGCCCCCCCACCCTCACCCGAGTGATCTCTGGACTGGGGTGTTCTCTGTCATTTTTGGGGTCGCTGAGAGCTGGGTCAGACATATCTAAAGCATCAGCCTTTGCCCTGTCTCTCTTTGCCAGGCAAGGACAGAGGAATAGGGGCCCAGCTCGCAGCCTCCTGGCCTCCACCCCTGGCCAGGCTCAGCGGCCTGCTAGCACAGAGTCACCTGGTGGCGGTGTACTCAAGGTCGCCAACTGTCAGTGTTCTCTGGCTGTCCCTGGCCGCTGCTGGCGGCCCCCAGACCACGTCCTGGTAAAACTGGCCTGGGATACAAAGGGCGGGTCAGAAAGGAATAAGGACAGAGAGAGAGGCTGGGAGACACACAGAGGGGGAGGGCACTGCCTGTTCACGGCAGAGGTGGCTCCTGAGGGCACCTAGAGCCATGGGCAGCATACCGAGGACCCCGCCAACACGGCTGGAGAAGCGGTCTGTATCCCGCAGAAGAAGCCGGAGCCCCTCCCCAGGGCCATCCCAGGGTAGCAGGCCGATGGTCACTCTGTCTGGGCTGCTGAGAAGCAGGAGCCCCGCCTTGTCCATGGTCATCTTGAGGCTGTGGGGAAACCCGGGGTCTTGAGCAGTTGGGCTGGGAGCCGGCAGGGGTTCCCCTCTTGTCCTCAGGAATTCCTACTGTGGCCTCGGGGGCCAAGATCCTTCAGTCTCGCGGGCTTCCCTCTCCTCGTGGTAAACTGGGACCAATGTTAACTTTATCAGATAAAACAACAGCTCCTTTCCCTCCCTGGTTCTCTTAGATTTGGTTTCTCATAAGTTAGTCTGATGGGATTTCAGCGGGTGTTGGTATATTTACTCAGTCCCTTTCGCTCTTATGACCACTGCCACTTTCCTCGGAGGACCAGTGACACTTGGGTCTAGAAGAGCAAGTCCCTTTTTGTTCCAGCCTGTCCTTTTTTTTACTTAAGATAATCTTTGAAATTCTTACTTTTTTGTTTCCTTAGGAATGTTAGATTCTTTTAAGCATGTTGAATAGGGTCCTGCTGTTACTCTGAGTTTATTTTAAATGGAATTGCCCTAAACTGACACTGTCTTCGAGGCAACGTACAAAATGTGGTCTGTTTTCCCTATGTGTATCTTCTGTACCTCGTGAAAATATTTGGACTTTTCCTCACTGCTGGTGATAGGAATTCTTTATTCTACCTTCTAGCGTGTATGTCCAAGGCACAGAAATGCTGTCATTCTCTGTGCGTTTATCAGATAAACAGAAACTAAGATCTCTTACGAAACTGGGCGTTTTTCAGGTGAAGCCCTTGGATTTTCTAGGCACGCACTCATTTGTCAAGTGGAAACCAGTGTCTGCTGTGGGGCAGGGAGAGGGCAGCGGGCAAGGCTCTCTGCGCCTGGTACAGGCTGGGGGGGTGGCAGGGCACGGCTCAAAGAGGGTCAGGCTTCTCTGCCCCACTCCCAGCACCCCCAGAGCTGGAGAGCTGCCTCTGGAAGGCTCTGCGGTGGGACAGCCTCACCCAGAAGAGGTCTCCATCCACTTGCATTACCCACCAGCAGCCCAGGGTTTGATGGTGGGCCAGGAGCATGCTCAGGATGACATTCCTAAACTCCCCTGGGGGACAGTGCTCTGCAGCTCCTAATTATTGTCATTACCTTGCCACACTGACAGCACTGCCCTCCACAGCACCCCGTGGGCACCGCGCTGTCTAAGGGGCAAAGTGCCCAGGGACCACGTCCTCTCACTGGATCTTCTGACTCAGGGCTGGGTGATTATCTCTGGTGATGGGTGAGGAAACAGGCTCAGAGCGGGTGAGCAGACTCCCCAGGGTCACACAGGATTAGCAGCAGAGCTAGCTCCAAACCACACCGTGCCTGGTCTGGGACAGTGGCCTGGGTTGGGTATGAGGCCAGCTAGGCCCCAGCCTAGCTGCTCGGTGCCCCCTGGAGTGCTCGGCGTCTCTGCTCCTCCCGCGGGCACAGCCCGCTGCAGAAGACTCATGCCCAGCCAACCCCATCTGCAGGCTGGTGGGCTCAGGTCACCTGTTGACACTGTCCCCAGCTAACTCCTGTGGCCAGAGAGGGACCCAGGCCGGACGTACCCAGGTATCACTGAGAACAGCGTCTCCTTCCACTTGTAGGCAGAGTTTCTTCGATTCCGGGTCACCACCACGTGCTCAGAGAAGGCACAAACCTGCAGCTCGGGGTTCTTGAAGGTCACCTTGATCCACGAGAACTGGGCCTTTTCTGTCTTGTACTGGGCAGTCACCTCAATCCCTGAGAGAGCCGGGGGCAGAGAGGTCAAGACCATGGCCCCAGCTGGGCACTGGCCTGAGCGGGAGGTACACCCAGACCCCTTCTCACCAGCTGACCTCCCTGCCTCCCTCTCTCCCACACTCCCTCCCACGGGGGGCTGGTTCCCACAGTCTCTCCCCTCATCCCTTGGTTTCAGATGGCTGTGCGAGGACCCCTGAATCCTCAGTGATGGCCAGCTTCAGATGGGCCTTTGAGAAGGGAGACGGTGTCGGAAATCCACGAATGTTCGTAAGGCCCCTGGGGCGTGCTTGGCCTGATGAGGCGCCATGGCCAAGGGCAAGATGGAAAAGGGGTGGTGCCCCCCCTCCTCTGTGAGCAGACTATAGGCCAGGCGGGAAGAGGGGGCGGACTGTGTGGGCGTGGGAGGAACAAGGGAGCCGTCTGTGCTAATGGACTCTGGCCTGCTCTGCAGGTGAGCGTAGGGCATCCCCGAGCACTGGGCCTCCTGGTATCCAACCCAACACTCAGTTCAAGCAGTAAGACCGTTCACCACCTCCACACACCCTCCATAGTCCCACCAGCACCCTCTAGCGCTCTGCTTCTACCTTCCCCTTCCTCTGCCTAGTGGACCCCTACTTGTCTGCCAAGGCCCAGTCACTCCTTTATGACCCTGTGTAGCCACCCCTGCCCCTCCACCCCCGCATTCCCGATAGCTCCTGTTCCCTCCTCTGGGTTTGCTTCTATGTCGCTCTGGGCACTGACTCAAGGCCATGGAGCTCATCTGTGCCCAAGTCTGTCTCCCCACCCCTGAAGTATGGCAGGGCCTGGGGGGCAAGTCCACATCTCGTCATCCTGGAGTGCCCAGGCCACCCAGACCTGCATAGGGGTGCTCAGGGGTGGCAGTGCCGGGATCTGGGACAGGCCTGCATGGGGCGGGGTGTGTGTCTTCACAAGCAGGTTTCCCATCCGAGTCTCTGGGGTAGTATGCCGGGAGTGAGAGGTGTCTGGGCTTCTCTGGGTGGATGATGGGATGTGCCCCTCTCACCTTGCTCAGGGTCTGAGAGCAGGTTCATCGGCCCCTGAGAGTGCTTGATGTCCACACAGAGACGGTCCACACTCTGTCCGGGCAGCGTCAGGATGACAGGCGGTGCCTGGATGGGGGCTGGGACAGCAGCTATGGTTCCTAGAGTAGGTAGAGAAGGCTGGGAGACAAGGACAAGAGGGGGGCCAGGCCTGAGGGAGGCTGGCAACTTACCTGGGAATGAGGTTGTCTTGGGTGGCTCTGAAAGAAGGAAAAGTCTAGGTTTAGGGAGCCCCTTCCCAAAGAATGGGGGGAGGGGGGGACAGAGACATGGGTATATGTAGCCAGGGCACTTTCTCAACCTCAACACTGGGGAACCCACGTGGTAAGTCTGTAGAGCGACCCGAGGCTTTCCTCTCCCAGAGTCTCCCTGTCACAGGGCCAGAAGCTACTGCAGGGAGTCTGGCCAGGAAGGTATCTCTGGCTCTTAAATCCACACTCCGGAATGCTCCATCAGGAATGGAGGGGGCTGACGGCGCCAAAGCAGGCATCAGGGCAGGGCCAGCCGGAAACAGAAAGGAAGAGGGCAGTCAGGACTGAGAGCAATCAGCACGCAACCCCCAGCCATCATCACGGCTGCCCGCCCCCTACCCAGCCCCGCAACCCCTGCCACACCTATGCAGGACTTAGAAGAGCCTTTGCCATGGGATTTGCAAATAGGAGAGCATGCTCTCAGGGAAAATGGAGAGGAGGTCTAGCCTGGCTCAGTGCTGTTTTTGAGTCCAGACCTGGAGATCAGAAACAGCTCAAGGGTCCACCGCTGGCTTTGAAAGGGAGGAAGACTTCCCTTTCTAGAAGGTTCCATCCTGAGCCAGACTCCAGAGTGTAATGAATCCAATTCCGTGAAAATAAAGGACACATTACATCATGTCATGCCCCACAGCAGCTCTCCCAGGGTTGTGCCCCGCCCTGTCCTGTGTGCTTTACCTCTCCAACTCTATGGCCATGTTCAACGATCATCTTGAAGAAATTAGACCCTCAGAAGGTCAGAAAGTGGCTAACCTAACAACGTGTCCGGTAGCAGTGATTCTCCAGCAATCTGGTAGAGTGGATAATAATGAGGCACGTCAGGAGGTCCTGGTGGTCCGGCTCTCCCTAGGTCACTAGGTCTTTTCCTGGTAGTTCCAGCTTTGGAAAAGTTGACACATGCAGCCTTCTCTCAAGCAGTGTCATGGCTCCCCGAAGCCAGGGCTCAGGGACCCAGGCCAGGAGAGGTATGAGGAAAGGGCAGATGGTTCCCGCCCCCACATTAATCACTCTGGGAGCTAACTCCCCATGGCCAGGAGAAATTCAGCGTGGGAATGATGGACCTTTCTTGAGCAACCCCCACCCTGCCCCTGGGATATGAGCCCCCATCCCCCGCCCCCGACTCAAACCACCTTGTCCTCTATAGCCTCTTGTTTCCGTGAGGACAGAGTCTGCATAGAAGCCTCCTGATCAGATATCATGACCTGAGTCCCAGCCCCACCAGCCAGCCAAGGGAGCCAGGCAAGTCACGCCCCCAACAACCAGGGCAGAACCCAGTCTGGGGTCAAGGTCCTGTTAATCTCCCCCACCCCTTCCCCTTTCCTCCTCTGCCACCTGTTATTCTGGACCTTCTGTATCCTGTAGTAGGAAATCTAGAGAGTGGATAATCTGGAAATCAGAGGGACCTGGGTTTGCTTCTTGGTTATACCTTTCTGGGGTCCCTCGCTGACCAGGGATTGTGTCCCTAAGTGCGCAGGACAGGGCGTGAGTGGCAGACAACACCCACTCCTGGCAGCAGGGCTGAGCTGGCAACCTCGTGGGGCTGATGCCTCAGGCTCTGTGTCAGCCGACTGTCCCCCAGCCCAGCCTTTGAGGGAATTAGGCCCTTACCTGAGTGGAAGTTCTTGTGTTTGTTTTCTGGATAAAACAAAAAGAGACAGAAAAGGAAGTAACGCTGTTAGGATGCTTTCGACAAGTTCAAAGTGCTTCTGTTTAACCCTATTTCCCAACCCCAGCACTGAATAGGTGCGGTGAACTCTGGGGTCAGCAGACCTAGCCTCAGCTTTCTCATTTGTGAGATGGGAGCAGTGTCCCGAGGCTCCTGGGAGATTAGGGGTGGCTAGGTCAGGGACTTAGTGGGGACGCGGGGGGGAAAGGCTCTGGAGAATGCTGAGTCAAAACTGTGTTGCCGAGAAGGCTGGGGTCCTACTCTCACACCTACCGGTTTCCATAGGCTTCTCAGCAACTTCAGACTGTTCTTTGCCTTCAGGTTTGGTGACCACCATAGATGTGAGAGGAGTGACAAAGCAGTAGTGGAGTGACAAGTTCAGAGCTTGGGTCTCGAGGGCCTGCTTCTCAGCATTGGACGCTGAAACCCTGCAGGTGGGGGACATCAGAGGCTTGGCGTGTCCTCCCCAGATGCTGGGTTAGAGTCTCCCTCCCTTCCAGACCCTTCTGGGAGGTTCCACCTGGGAGAGCCTAGAGCTCACCCACAATGCCACCACTGCCTCTCTCTATGCCTGGGAGATACCCCGTGCCAGTTGCAGCTGCCCCCCACCCCAGGGGAAAGCTTGGGAAGGTGCTTGGGCTGTGTGTGGTGGCCCCAGCAGGCCCTCGAGGGTACAGGCCACCCACATTTTCTCCAGCAGTTGCTGGATGGTCAGGTATGCCCAGAGTCTCTCCATGAAGCTGTGGAAGATGTACTTGGGGCTCTGGAACTCCTTCTCCTGCTCCACCACACTGGACTCCGTTTGGAAGGTGATGTTCTGCATGTGCTGGAAAGAGGGGCCCAGCCCAGACAGGAGCAGTGAGGGCCTTGCCAAGGCCGACATGGCAGGCCCAGAGCCAGGAGCTCAGGTCAGACTGACCCTTCCAGAGAAAGGGAAATGAGAATGGGATCCAAACCCCAGGCCAGGGTAGAAACAGCAGCAGGAAGGACGTGCGACTGCAGTGTGGGGGGGCAGAAAGGGGCCCCACAGGCACTCCACACTCACCTCAAAGATGGAGACTCTGGGGACCAAGAGAGAAGAGCCTTCTCTGACAGTCAGAGGCAGAGTTGAGAAGAGAACTCAGGTGTCACGGCCCTGATAGGCCTCGGGGCCCCCCAACCAGCTGTCCCCTGCCCAAGCTGGTGCCCTCTGCTGGAGCTGGGTGCGATGGGATGTGGCAATACAGCAGGTGCCAAGCTCTGGGAGACTGCTGCTTCCTTCCTCAGGGCCGGGCCTCCTGCTCTTGGGCTGCCCTGCCCGCAGTCTGGGAAGTGGGGTCCAGGGACAGAGGAAACCTGCCCTCTCTCACCACTGCTCCAAACAACAGCTGAAGACCTTATCATGGATCAAATCCCACTACCCCTGCTGGGACCACCTTCTCCATCTCACCCACAACCTCGTTTCCTAAAACCGTGTCACATAGGCCACCAACATGAATTTCGCCCTGTCCATACACACAGCAATTTGTTTGATCGTTTTCCTTAAATGAACTTTAAATAGATGAATACTATTTATCTGGCTTTGTCCCAAACAATCACACCTGCGAAAATCTTAGGCCTGGCGTTCAGTTCTATTTTGCAGGAGACACATTAAAATACATACACAGGGGTGTCTGGGTGGCTCAGTCATTAAGCCGCTGCGTTCGGCTCAGGTCATGATCCCAGGGTCCTGGGATGGAACCCCGGCATTGGGCTCCCTGCTCAGCGGGAAGCCTGCTTCTCCCTTTCCCACTCCCCCTGCTTGTGTTCCCTCTCTTGCTGTGTCTTCTATCAAATAAATAAATAAAATCTTTTAAAAAAATAAAATAAATACACAACTACTGAAAAAAAGACATGTTTATAAACTCCCCTGAGTCACCCTGAGTTCTGCACTTTGGGAACCCCTGCCCTTCAGGTTATTTTAGCAGCTAACGTGAATGGAGTGTTTAAACTGGGGCCAGACATTAATCCCCACAGCAGCCTTACAAGGTGGGTAGGGTGACTGATCTATTCTGATTTTCACACCTAAGGAAACTGAGGCACAGGAAGGTTAAATGATCTGCCCCTGGCCTCACCTCTGGGAGGTGGCAGAGCTGGGTTTGAACCCAGACAGGTGGGCCACAGGGCAGGCAACGCCCATCACAATACTTGGCTACTTCCTCCAAGGCAAGGCCTTGCCCCCCCCGCCCTGCCTCCCCCCGCCGCTCCCCGCCCACCCCCTCTGTGTCCCCTGACTCACTCACTTGCTGTTCTTCCCACACAGGCTGTCTTCTTGCCATGCAAGCCCAGAATGTTCCTCTACCATTCCACATCTCTATTGTCTCCCACTCGTCCTTCAGCCTCAGCTGGGCCTCCTTCAGGTAGCTCCCCCTGATTCCCAGATCAGGTTTGGGTTCCCAGGGCTGCTCCCCTGAGTCTTCGAGTCTCTCCTGTTGGCAACCTCCCCACCTGTAGCTCCCTTTTTGTGTGATGATTTCCCTGCACTGCTTTTCCTGGGATGACAGGATCTGTAGGGCCTGGAGGACTTAGCACAGAGCAGATGCTGTTTCTCCCCGTGGAATGAGAAGGCTTCCCGTGGCAGAGGCAGGAAAGGTGGCCAGAGTTGGGGCACCGCGTGGGGACCCGGGCTCTTGACCTGGCTACACTGGGGCCCGAGGCAAGTTGCCTGCCCTGTCTGGATCTCAGCCTGCTCGTCTGCAAAATGGGAGCAGTCACCCCTGCCTGAACGCAACCTCCGAGCGCCGGTGCGAGGGCAGGAGGGCGTGCCAAGCCCCTGGTGCTCTCAGGACCAGCAGCAGCGCAGACGGACCACACCACTGGGTGTCCCCTCTAAGCAGCCGAGAGCACCGTGGGACTTGCGCAAGGCCGGTGGCTGGAGCCCGGCTGGGTAGGGTTGGAAGCCAGCCCCTCTGACTGCCTGCCCCGGCGGCCCTCGCCTGTAGAGTGGCTGCCCACACTCACCATCTTCCCCTTGACTTTGGCTGAGAGCACATCAGGGCTCTGGTCCCTGATCTTCCCGGCCACGACAATCTCAGAGCCTTTGAAGAGCAGTCGGAAGTTGTCCTGCGAGACGTCCTCCACGGCGTTGCTAGGGTACTCAAAGGTCACTGCTGTCAGCAATGGGTTGGCCACTTCTTGGTAGAAGTCCTGCACGGCAGCGGGGGGCAGTGTCACGAGTGCTGGACTGGGCTCTGCCTGCCTCACCCGTGCAGCCCGCCGGGGGCCCTCTGGCACCTGGAGCTGCAGGGCAGAGTCCGAGTCCTCATAGATGCGCCGAGCCAGGCCGCCATTGTCTAGAGCCAGCTTCTCCAGGAAGGCATAGCTGACGTCAAAGCCAAAGCCCAGGGAGAAGATGCTGTGCTGGCCACCTACAGCTTCCTTCACATTCTTCTGGATCCTTGCAGGGTTGGTCTCCCCTGGACCCAGCGGGTTGAGAAGGGGGAGTGAGGAAACAGTGATTTGTTCAAAGATCTTTCTGGAATCTCAGAGCCAGAGGGGTCTCAGATACGCCCCCCACCCCTGCCTGGGGTCCCACGGCACAGCTGTCCGTGCCCCCAGGGCTGTGTGCCCTGGAGTTGCTGGCGGTGCCCTCACCCATGGTGGGGTCGCCATCGGTGAGCAGGATGATGAGGGAGACACTCCCCTCCGGCAGCAGCTCCTGCTGGTTGGCACTGTCCAACAGCTGCACGGCCATCAGCATCGCGTCATTGATGTTGGTCCCTGGGGGGCACGTACTCTCAGGGTGGCAGCTTCCAGCCCAGCTCCCCAGGCTGGGCTTGCTGCACTGGAAGCCCCCTACATGGCAGGGGCCCGGAGGTGCTCACCTCCTTGGGCCTGGATTCCGGTCGCGTAGCTCCTGGCCTGGTTCACGTTCTCAGCTGAGGCCGGCACCAGCGAGGGCTTCCACTGGGCTGCACCCCCGCTGAAGCTGACAAGATTGAACTGGTCGTTGGGGCTGAGGTCATCCAGGATCTTGATTAAGGCTTCCCGGGTCTGGGCAGGGGGGTGGGAGACTCAGGAGGGTGTCTGAGTAGGGCTTCTCTGGGGCTCAAGTGGACTTGGGGGGCATCCCTGGGCTCCCATGGCCAATGCTCTAGGGGCAGACCCTGCCCACACTCTGGCCCATCTCAACCCCTGGGTGCCCCCTACCCAGGAAGATGGAGGAAGGAGAGTGCCTCCTGGACCAGAGCTAATGGTGTGAGGCATGTGTGAGATTCCAGGGCCATGCCCTGAGCCAGGGGGACCCACCTGCTGGATCTTCCTGCCCCTCATGGAGCCGCTTTTGTCAATGACGAAGATCACATTCTTGGGTATCGTGGGTAGGCCCTCGGGGGCAAAGTAGTGCACAAAGTAGCCACCCTCGATCTGTGATCACAGTGAAACAAACCCAGGTAAAAAGAGCTGCATGCAGCCTGCCCTGCCCCGGAAGCAGCCTTCTCATCCTAATCCTTGGGTTCCTCTCTACATGCAGCCCCCTCTCTCTGTGTCCCACTGCTGTCTTCCCCAAGTCTTCACCATCTTCGATGGCTCAGTCCAGCCCCTCCCCTACCTCCCCTGCTCACACATGGCCCACGACAACTGTAGTCCCACTTCATCACCTATCTGTTTTAGTATTTGAGGCAACTTACCTTAAAAAGTTTAGACATAATTACCCTGAAATCCATCAAAAGAGTAAAGACTTTAAAACAAGATCCAATAAAGATGAAAAGGGAAAGCACAATGATGCCAGAGACTTGTATGAAAGAAGCTACTGCCATTGAGTATAAAACTGAACTGTAAGCCTCCTGGCAGGCAAGGCAATAAGGGAAATCCTGCAGGGCATCTCTCTAGCAGAGTTGAAACTTTTGTGCCTCCAAAAGAAAATTATTTCAGGGACAGCATAATAAAATTATTTGTTTTCAGTCTGTTCTGCTACTGGTTCACCCTGATAAGTAGGGGCGGTTATTCTGCCTTTCTTTCTAGAGCATGCAAGATCAGGCCCTTTTCCGGTTGTCCTACTCTCACCTTAAAGCTCACCACACACCTGAATGGAGCCGCCGGAGACGGTCCTGTTCACATCGTAGCGGACGATGAAGTTGCCATTCAGGACTGTGTCCTGCTGCCCTGATGACTTTTGCTGGGAGAGCGTGGGCTTGAATTGGATGTGAGCCTGGGGAGGGAGAGGCTGGAGTTGGGGGGGATCCTCATGGTCACCCACACCCCCTCTGAAGCAAGAATTCTAGGATGCTGTCTTGGGCCACAGTCCAGGGAATATTCTCTGAGGCCAAGCTGTTGGAGAGACTGCCTCCATACAGAGAAGTGGGAGCCGTGTGAGCAGAGGCTGGGCTCAGGTTGTGCAGGATCCAGCTGTTGGCCCCTCCCTGCTGTGGGGGCCTCACTCTGGCTCCTCCCCATGGCCTTCTCCCCCATCTTGGACTTCACACCAGCACCCAGCAGCCTTCTTTAGGCCTTGTCCTCCACCTCTGCCAAATGCCAGTATGGACACAGACCTCCAAAGTCCCTCCAGCTCAGAGTCTGCCCACTTGTCCTGCTCTTTGGACACACCCATAAGGCTGGCCTGACAACAGGCCCCTGGGACCCTTGCCTGCCAATTGTGGCCGACCCACCTTGGTCTTGTTCTGTGAGACGGTGAGGGCGTCTACCAGTTCGTTGGTCATGAAGGTGCTCTCTGTCTCCAGAAAGCTGATACCTTGAGGCTCGAAGATATGAATGTCCATCTGGAGGCAAGAAGTGGGGATCACTGGGTCAGTGGGGAGTTGGGGTTGGGCCTCACAGGACGCAGAGGGGAAGGACGGGCTGCCCTCAGCAGAGCACATGTCTTCCTAGAGGCCCCCCGGGAGCAGGCAGTGCCAGTACCTGCAGGTGCTTGACCAGCTGCTGAGGCTGGACTTTCAGCAGCAGCTCATACACTCCCAGATGCCGCTTGAGCAGCTCCTCATACACCAGCTCAAAGGTGACCTTGGCAGAGGGAGCCACACTGACCGACACCTGGAACTGCTCCGTCTTTCTTCCGGTGGCCCTGCGGGAGGAGAGCATCAGATCTGTCCCTCCAGGCCAGGCAGGGGGCTGGAGAGGGTGTACAGGGCTGAAGGCAGGGGCAGCCTCTGTGCCAACCCCCTGGGGTCCCTCCCACCGCCATCTTTGGCTCACTTGACGAGGCCAGCACTCTCTCCTCTGGCCACAGCCTGGCTGTACCGCTCCTGGGCTGCAGCCTTCTCCTTGATATTGCCTGGGTAGGTCACACCTTCGATGATCCTGGGGCAGGACAATGGGAGTCATGGAGGGCCTGACAGGAGATGCCCACTCCAATCCCACCTCCTCCAGGGAACCTCTCTGGACTTGGAGTGCCTCTTAACAGATTGACTCCTGTCTTTGCCTGAGCCTACCTGTTTGTCTTTCTTTCTTTCTTTCAAAGATTTATTTATTTATTTGGCACAGAGAAAGAAAGAGAGCGCAGCAGAGGCAAAGGGAGAAGGAGGCCCCCCCTGAGCAGGGAGCCAGCCGCAGGACTCGATCCCAGGACCCCGGGCATATGACCTGGGCCGAAGGCAGGCGCTTAACCGACTGAGCCACCCAGGCGCCCAGCCCACCCATTCATTATGTACTTACTGTATACGAGAGTCTGTGCAGGGCCCCGGATGAGGGCAGCGGGCCTCTGCAAGCTATCAGGCTTGCCATGCCGGTACACATGCATTTACTGAACAGACCTCGGAGGAGGTTGTAGAGGAGGCGGGATGGAGATAAATAAATCCTGGCCTCCACCCTTGCAGTCTGGCCCCACGTGCCAGCATGCCTGGTCTACCTCACGGCCTGCTCCCAGAGGAACTGGTCGGTCACCAGCAAGCACTTTATGGGGCGCAAGTGTGCCCAGCCTTGTGTGTGGCTGTGTGGGGCAGACGGAGGAGACGGAGGGGTGCCGGGCTCCCAGCCCAGTGGGAAATGCAGGTCTGAAAGTCTCTGCTCCCTCTCCCTTGCAGCTGTCCCCGTTTCCTGCTGGCACAGCGCAGGGCCCCCTGCACAGAGGATGGCCTCTGGGGAAGTAGGTTTTTGACAATTGGTGGATGAGACCCCCAGGGGTATGGACACAATCCTAACGGCTGTTCTTCGGGACTAGAAAGACCTGCCAGGGCTTTTCCTTTGGAAGGAGAACGGCTCCAGACTGTCCTGGTGAGGTGAGCTGGGGTGTGTCCACAAACCTTTGCCTGCCCCACCTGGGGTCGTGTGAAAGGGTAAGAGCATGCGGACGGGCAGGGCGCCTGTCACCAGGGCATTAGGACCCAGTGTCCCTCCTCCCCACCTTCCTGACCTTCCTGGTCATAATTTAACTCTGGGCCAGGGCTGCTGAGTGGGCCACAGGGCTCCTCCTCCCAGATGCCCAGCTGGGACTCCCCATCAGGTCAGAGCACAGGACATCTTGCCCCCTGCTTCCCCATCTGCTGCAGCAACACCATCTGGACCCAGAGGGGGGTGCCGGCCCAGGGCTCTCAGCATAGGCCATGTGCCCAGAAGCTGTTCACCTGCTGGCCTTGGCCCTCCAGTGGGAAGCTGGGAGTATCCAGCTGCGCTCCCACTGTAGGCCTGGCTCCAGGGTCGGGAGAAGCAAGGGCTGCTGACAGGGTGGCAGGGAGTGAGGGAGAAGCTGACCACAGGGACCCAGGCCCCACTGCAGCTTTTCAGAGGTCTCAGGGTAGTTTGGGAACCCTGGCTGGGAGAAGCTTGCTCTCAGCACCATTCAGCGCCCTCCCTGAGTTTCTGGGATCAGCATCTCTCTGGCCGGCCTTCAATCCCTGCCTCTCCTGTGAGGCCAGGACAGACGGGGAGGGTTCTCCTGCACTCAGCAAACATTGCAAAAGAGTCAGGAAGGGTAGGGGAGGATGGTAGAGGACAAGGTGAGGGTCAGCCCTGAGCCACAGAGTCCACAGAAACTCCATGGGCTCCCTATTTCGGCCTCTGGCCCAGAGGAGACACACCGTCTGCAGTGTCCCCGGTGGGAGGAAGGGGATGAGCCTGGCTTAGAACTTCCTGTGACAGAGATCCCCCTCCTCGAGGCATTGCCCCACTGTGGGGCAGCTCAGGAGTTAGGAAGTTGTATTCTGAGCTGGACTCCGTCTTTTGTGACTCCCTCCTGCCTGGGCCTGACCTCAGGATGCTCCAACTCTGTACTCTTCAGAGGCAAACACACCAAGAAGCTGTGGTGCTCCATCCGTCAACTGGGCAGGTGGGTGGGAAGCATAAATGGAAAGATGGATGATGGGATGGATGACGGGAGGCAGGAAGGGAGGGAGAGAGGGATGCAGGGTGGTAGAGAAGGATGAAAGGAGAGAGCAAGGGAGGCGGGACTGATGGCAGGAGGGATGGGTGGAGGACGGAGGGATGGAACATCTCTGAGAATACATGGAGTTCCGGGGTTAAGCCTCTGGTTCCTCGTATTGCCTACAGGCAGAGCACACACGCCTGAGGCGTCCATCCTGGCTCATCTCACATCAGGAAGAGGGTCACTCTTCCTGACAGGGTGTCACCAGGGAAGATGGCGACATCACGCTGGGTTGGGGAGGGTGTCAGGGAGGAGGGCAGGGGGGCACCTACATGGAGAAGTTGGTGATGAAGGCTCTCTTGGGCAGCTCCACCTGGAATGTAGCCTCCTGCGCGGTATCGGCCCTGTTGACCACCCTGCTGGTGATGACTGTGTGGGCAAATCTGGACGAGACCTTAGAGTCCACGGTGAGGCTGTAGATGTCGATGTCATTCTGGACCAGCGAAGAGGAGGGGTGGGATGCTTTCTATGCCACTCCAGCTTGAGACAGCACTCGTGGAGGGGGCCCTGCCCTTGGTCCCCAACCCCGACTGAACCACTGGCCACACCTCTGGCCAAACCCCAGGAGGCATTGCACATGTGAACACCGGTCTCATGGCAGAGGGAGCTGTGTGCCCTGTCCCTCACCCTTCAGGGCTGTGTTGCTGGAGCCTGAGCCCCAGTGTGTCTGGGAGGTGACTCTCACTTCCTCCTCGGGGAGGGGACCCTAGCGGGGTCAGGCAGCTTCACATTTGATCTTAGCTCTGCCCATGAAAGGGTAATGAACAAGTTCTGTGATTTCTGGTGACCTCAGCCTCCATGGAAACTGGGAGACGCAGCTCTTGCCTGTCTCCCACCAGGTGCTTATAGGAGCTGGGAGGACTTGGAGGAGACAAGGACCCAGTCTCTAACCACTAGGAGCCTTCCTCTTTGCTCCCTTCACCCTGCAGCCCTGGACCCTCCCTGGGCCCACACTCTTCCCCTCCAGGTCTGCAGTTCCCCAGGAAGGACCTGGGCACACCTGCGGCCTTGCACACCTGCTCTCTGCACATGGCGTGTTCAGGTGCACGCGTGGCTTAACACCGAGGCGCGTGACTGGCTGGGTGGCTTATCGGGTGTCTGCTCGGTGGCAGGCCCTGTACAGAGTTCTTTCTGGATATTACAGGTCTGATCTTCCCAACAAAGCTCTGAAAAGCTTTTCTTTTTACCATTTTACAGATGAGGAAACAGACACAGAGAGCATAAATAACTCCTTCACGGCCACTCAGCCAGGGAGAGAGAGAGCAGGGCTCATGAAGCCCATTCTCACCCACCGAACGCACTGCCTCAGCAGTAGCTCGCTGGGCTACAGCACCTCCTTGCAAAATGGAAATAGGGTCTCCCTGCTGTTCAACAGGAGAGCAGCCATACAGCCCTAGGTTAGTGCCTGGGGATGGTCGGCACCACATCTTTGCACCCTGATCCTTTGCGGCACCACACCCTTTGCACACCCTGATCCACGCTCCCTTGTCCACACATGCTTGCACACGCGGAGGCTCTCCTTGCTCATCAGTCCACAGCACTCGCGCTCAGGCGCCCAGACACCCATTACCTTTTGGGCGGTGGTTGTGCAGAGGGCAGCCAGCAGCGAGAGCAGCACCAGTGCGATGCCACGGGTGCAGCCGGGGCCCGAAGTCTTCATTTTGGCTCTGGTGCCTGCCAGGTGGCTTCTGAACTTGAGAGGATGTGGGGAGTGAATTAGTAATATGCTCGCTGTCCCGCCCCTCCGGGGGCGGCTTCTGGGAAGTTGGGATCTCCAAGCCAAAAACGGCAGTAGCCTCGGCTAAGCAAACTGAATGTCCTGTGGACCTTGGCTGGGGACAGGAACACGTACCAAGGAGAGGCAGGCTCAGGTGGGAACTGGGTATGGCACTCCTTCTGAAAGATCCAGAATCATCCCAGGCCACTACCAAACCCTCGCGCCAACCCTTTCACCAGCAGGCTTCCTAGATCTGGGAGATACAACAATGAACCAGCCTGCTCTCCATATGCCCAGCCTGGGAGAAACGGATGGCCCAGAATGGGGGGGCTAGGGAATGGCTCCCCAGAGGAAGGCAGCCTGGAGGTCAGCTCCGTGTGACTGGGCGGTGCGGGGGCCCTTAAGGTACTGAGAAGGCACTGGGGTGTCTGACCGGGGGCAAGATCTGCTGGGGCCAGGGCAGGACGGAGACCTCTCATTTCTGGGGTGAGAGGGGCTGGGCCCAGGAGTCCCCTTCTCTGCCCTTAGGTCCCAGGCTGCTGTCGGGCCCCATTAATCTACCTAGGGCTCTTGGTTCAACTCCAGCAAGGCCCTCAGAATGAGACCCACACTTTGCCAATACAAATTGAGAGCCATAAATACTCCTGCACTTTGTGGCCCAGAGGTCTCCCTCCAGGGAATTTATTGAGAGGAAAGCAAGGAACAGACCCCTTGCGGGGCGGCCGTGGGGGTCAGTCATGCCGAGGGAGCCCACAGGTCACAGCTTGCGTGAGAATGCCGAGCCATCCGCACACCCAGGCGGTGCCGCTGTCCTGAGCCCAGACCGGTGGGAATGTACCGGAGGGCCTGGGGTAGGATTACCGGTAACTTTTTTCCATTTTCCTTTAATAAACTTGAAATGCTTTTGTAACGAATAGCAATGAAGTGAATAAATATTGAGTGTCGGGATACAGCTGGTGCTGGTGTCCCTGGTGGTTCTGGGAAAGCCCAGCTCCTGAGTCTGGCCACGGGTCAGGCAGGTTGCTTCCGCAGTACGGCCAGGTGCCAAACCCTGGGTTGGGGGAGGAGGACGGCTTGGTGACACTGGTTGGGGTGCGGGGGTGGGGTGGAGTGGAGCAGCCATGCTGGGGCCCACGCAAGGTTCTGAGGTGGTGACCGGCCTCCAGGGGGTCCCCTCGACCAGGGCCGGCAGCATCCAGCCCTGGAGAAAGGGCAGAAGGGACTCCAGCGCTGTGTCTCGGGCTGCTTCCCCTTCCTTAGCACACCTGCAGCCTCTCTGTGCACATCTGTGCTGCTGGCCCTTTGGCTCTGAATATGGCTGGGGTCATATGGGGCTTCACACCCCTCTGGCAATCTGAAAGGAGCCTCCCCATGGAGCACAGTGGGCAGGCCCAGGCCCTGTCTCCCAGGAGGTCTGCTCCTTGGGTCACACAGCACAGGCCCAGCCTAGAAACAGCTATTTAAGGAGGCTGGGCTGGCTGGGAACATGGGAAAGGCTCCGAGCAGCCAGGCGGACCTGCCCAGGGGACCGGCCGGCTTCCCTGCAGGCAGCAGCCTGGAGTCAGGTGCCGCAAGGCCCGGCTCTGCCGGTCCAGCCCGGGGCCGCCTGTGGTTTTGCCGTCACGGAGGATGGGCCTCAGCAGTCCCCAGATCTGACAGCTCTGTGCACACAGGGGACACTGAGGCCCTGTGAGCCAAGGGCCTGGAATTCCCATGTTGTAGGCAGAGCTGTGGGAGTGGCAATGGGGAGGCTCACCCCGAGTGTGGGAGAATAGCTCAGGAGGTGGACGACCACTGGCCAGAGAGTGGCCTCGATCTGGCTTTGCCTTTGAGGGGTATGAGCTGGCAAGGGGGCAGTGCAAACAGGGGTGCCGGGGGAAGGGGCTTTGAGGTCCCTGGCCTAGCAGAGCCTTGGAGTCCTTGGAAGTATCTCGATGGTTTCTGTGGAAGGCAAGGGGAAGGGGTAAGCCTTGGGCCCCCGCCTGCTTCATTCACTCCAAGCAGTGTTCCTGTGGTCCTTGTCAGACAGGAGGGGAAACCGAGGCTCAGAAAGGGAGAGGCTGGTTTGAAGTCACACAGGAGCTCAGCACCAGGTCTCCACTCCAAGGCTTTTTCTAGTGTGTGGCAGTAGCCATAGTAGCACCTGCCTTAACCTCTGGAAGCTCCCAAAAGCCCACGAAGGGTACAGAACATGCCCCCCACCCTACCCCGCCTGCCCCTCCCCTACACTTGGTGGCCGTGGCCAGTGACCAACTATCAGCCTCCAAATGCCGGGGCCACATGGGCATGCGCTTTATTGGTGCTCCCTGGGCACTGGTGCAGAGTGGCGGGCTCCCTGGGCCGCGGGGTCAGCGCTGTGAGGGGCAGGTGGCCATCCCACAGGCAGCAGGTGAGAAGGTGCATTCTGGCATAAAAAGGTTTTGGGGAAATTCTCCTGTGTGGGGAGTTGGCAGCAGTGAGAGGAATGGTGCACACATCTTAGCCGAAGACACTCTTGGCAGGTCCAGCTTTGGGCTTCTCGAAGACGGTCTCGGTGCCGGTTCGGCTGCCACTGAACACGGACGGGGCGGTGGAGCCGGCTAGTTCTGTGGGGGGGATGAGGAGGTGTGGGAGGGACATTCGTGGGGGGGTGCCCCCCTGAGTTCAGGAAACGACCCTGGGACCCCTCACCCCATCCCTCCCCTCCACTGACAGCCATCCACACCCCCCCACCCCCGTGGCCCGGGAGGACACTCACCACACTCCCGCATGACCTGGTAGGTCTTGGACTTGATCTCCTGGTTCTTGGCTAGGTTCCCACGGGCCCCCTTCAGATCTTCCTCCTTCACCGGGGGGCGCTTCTTCTTGATGGGGGCCTCCTGTGCACCAGCCTTGGAGAAGCCAGAGTCTTACACCCCCAGGCCTTGAGGCTGAAAGCCCCTTCCCACCTCTGTGCCTTGGCCCTGAAATCCCTCTTCACTGGTCACCTGATCACCGAGCTCAAGCCAGTTGAAGGCTCCAGTCCTCTTGCAGGCAGCCTTCCCAGCTGTATTCCACCCCCACCCCAAGTGTGTCCTTCTCCCACAGACTGGGAGCTTAAGGACTGTGGGTGCTGTGGCCTCACACTGTCCGCCTGCCTGGACAGGTGCTCAGGCCTGGACACAAAGGGCAAATGGGATAGGCACTGGTTTCTAGGTGGAGTTTCAAGGGGTGAATTCTAAGACCTGCTCACTGGGTGCAAGGGCTCCCTTAGGGATTGCCTTCCTCTCCCCCTAACTACTTGCCTTTACCTTGAGAGTTCTGAGGGTGCGAATAGAGAATCAGATGCCCATGAGGTCAGTCTGAAGTGAGTCCCTACCCATGGAGCAGGCAGCAAGGAGGACCCTCCACTTAGCCTGCCACTCTGTCCCTCCAGTACTAGGGATATTCAGATTGTGCTTATCCTGTCAACCCCAGGCGCCCACAAGTCTGACAGCTCACTCCTTTCTAAGCCCTGGGGACAGGTGCAGGGAATCCCTGGTCCCTGAGTCTGGGCTGGGCTCCTGGGGCAACACGCTGGCCCCCTTACCCCCCCCCCCACGCAGAGATCAGTCCTACTGGGGAGATGCCCAGACAGAATTGTGTGCCTACAGATCCAGCGTCACGTGTATGCACACATGCACACACACACACACGGCTACGAACGAGTCACACAGTCAGTTTCTTCACACACAAAAGCATACACAGAGACTTGAAGTATCCTATGTGTCGTCTCTACCCTCTGGGCCAACCAGGCAATACCACCGAACCCGAGATAAATAGGGGTTTGTCGGCAAGCTGGGGTCCGGGGTTGCCCTCGCTGGGCCTTGGCCTTTCAGGGGCTGCGGAGATTCCTGTTTACACCTGGATTCAGCTCAGGACACATCTGTCAGAGATGACAGGGTCCAGGTTCCCAGCCCTGCCCGGACACCAGCACAGCCTGTGACGGGCCCTCCTACCTGGGACATGGTGCGTCCTGTGCGAGAGCTGCTGCAAAGGTGCTCGTCCGGCAGAGGCAGAAACCGCTGGAAGATGGGAGCTGCGCCAGCCCTCTGGGGCTTATATATAGTTCCCCGGCCTGTCCCGGAAAGCCACTCCCCTCCTCAATGGGCTTCCCGATGATTCAGGTCCACGCAGCCTCTAGCTTCAGAGTTTATTCTTGGAGATGAGAGGGGCTGGCTGAGCACTGCTGCCTGGGGGCTGTGGCCCTGGTGAGAGCAGGTGGCTGGGGAGACCCTGTGCCCTTGGGAACAGCTGCTCTACGCCAGCAGGAGGGGCCGGGCCTGGCAGCGAGCAACGGGGCTATCGATGAACCCAGATCTTGGAACGTGTAAGCCGTCCGCCTGGGACCATCCATCCCCATGCAATGGGCGTCCCCAAGGGAAGTGAGGGCCCTGCGCCAGGCTGGGCCGCTCTGAGATTGGTTTTCCTTCAATTCCACCCCTCCCTGGATTCCAGAGGAGGGAGACTTGCCGTCCCTGGCCAGCAGGGCAGAAGCGTCCCGTGTCTGACACCCGGGAGCGTGTGCTCTTGGCACGCACAGCCCCCCATAGTTCACGGGGGAGCAGCTGTGGCTGAGGGAAGCCTGGGGAGCTGCTCCGTCTGTTTGCTGTAGTTCCTGTCCTCTGTCTGGCTCCCAAGGTAGGTTCAGCAAAGGGACCGAGCAGGGGGCAAGCGCCCAGGAAGGACCAGGAACAAATCCGTTTTCTGGTCAGGGCACTGGTGAGTGCAGGCAAAAAGGACACAGAGCCTCTGACTGTATGAGGTCACCCAAAGGTGCCTGTCCTGAGGACATTCAGGTTGCTGAAAGAGGGTGGGTGACATCCGAGCCCATTCCAGGCTCTGAGCTGTGGAGAGAGGGATGAGTCCAAGGTGTCCCCTGATGGTCACTTGGCTGCCAGTTCCTCATTGCCCATCCTTGGAGGGGAGACCCTCATGGTGCAGGACAGGACTCTGCACCTGGGGTGAGCATGGAGTAGAGGGGGTGGGGGTGTCAGCCACCCCTGAGCTCCTTGTCAGTTTGTGATGGGAGATTATTTTTGTCTTTGGAGGCTTCAAGCAGACGGAACCCCACCGGGCACTGACATTTGGTTATCCTGAATGCCACTCCACTGCGGTAATATCTCCAATCCCACTCCAAGCCCCAGCAGGCCAGTGTGAGGACTGCCAGCTCCATCTGAGACAAGTGCTGACACGAGGAATGCCTTCTGCCAGCCAGGGCCACGGACCCAGGCCTGCGAACAAGGCCACGCGGAACCAAGGGCAAGCCTGGCCTGGGAGGGCTTCGGCACCATCCCCACAGTGGGCTCTGTACAGGGAGGCACCTGCCTTCCAGCCCTGCAGCTCCAGGGACAAGGATGTGGGCTGTTCACTGCTCACAGCTCATCCCCCCAGCACCACTTGCTCCTCAGGGGGAGGCAAAGTTCCTTTTACTGGCATTAGTGGGGACATGGGAAAGGCTAGAGTATGTTTGGCTTTGTCCTTTGGCAGATTCTGGCTCCTGTGTCTGTCACCAGGTGATGTAGTTCATTCACACTTGGTTTCCTGGGGAGAGTTGTCGTTGTCCTTGTCTTCTTTTGAAAGATTATTTTATTTTACTTATTTGAGACCGGGAGAGAGAAACCACAAGTGGGGGGAGGCAGAGGGGGGAACGAGACTCCCTGCTGAGCAGGGAGCCCAACGCAGGGCTTGATCCCAATCCCAAGACCCCAAAATCACGACCTGAGCCGAAGGCAGAAGCTTAACCAACTGAGCCACCCGGGCACCCCTGGGGACAATCTTTTAACTCACTGGGGAAATTTTCTTGACCCCACTAAACTGTTTCAACTCCAAAGACCATACAACCAACAACCACAAGTGATGGTTTCTTTAAAAAACAAACAAACAAAAAAACTGTATTAAGATGTGAAACTTTATTGTAAACCATTTTACAATATAAGTACATCGTCTTCCCTTTCATTTCAAAAATGTGTTTCTGTGAATCTTAACACCACTGTTGAAACACCCCACCGGAAGGGCAGTGGAAATAGGCCATGGTTTGCTCACACAGTTCTGAGTTCTAATAAACATCATGAGAAAGAGAGACCAAATGAGACAGCTCACGCCCCCAGCCAGGAGCTCAAGGTACTGACGGCCATCGGACCGGAAGTCCCTCGCAGAGAGCGAAGTCCTTCAGAGCTGCCAGTGCTTCACAGGGGAGAACAGAGAGGTCTCCTCTCCTGGTCAGAAGTGTGTGCAACTTCTAAAAGCCAACCCTACAAGGTGGCTGCTTTGGCCAATGAGAAGTTCCAGAGCATCTATGTTGGCCTGGCCTGCTGCAAAAAGACCAGCACGTTGCTGTCTGGAGGGCAGAGTGGGCTCCTGGGCAGCCTTCCGATGGGGACTCTGGGCTGCAGCCTACAGGACTAGACTGCCTAGAATCTGAGCCCTTCTAGGTTTCCCTTTAAAGGCATGAGTGGTCAACATTCGCCTAGGACTCGCAGTTGCCAGGAAGGGGCATGAGTTAAAGCTTGAGGCAGGAGGCCACCAGCGTGCCTGAGCGCTAACTGATGGGCCACAGGCCTCTACCTTGAAGGTCTTCTGAACAGACCAAGAAGCCATTGCCCCCCAAGATCTCACCAACATCCCCCCGTTGCCACTGTCAACATCCCGCTGACAGCGAAAGGAAATAAGGCCAACAACAATTCCTTCCATTCAGACGCGATAGTTTCTACCTCACCAGGTTATTTCCATTAGGTACAAGAAACTCGTTCATGACCCTGACTTACAAGCTTCCATCAGGGGGGCCTTGGCCAAGGTCCACATCTACACTGATCAGATGGATAGCACACAGTATGCGGTTGGTGTCCCGTGGTTTCTCAAGCACTGTGACACTTGCCATGTGGCTGGGTAAAGAGCTGTACTGAGTAAGGCACCTCAGGGCAGATGGTAAGGAGACTCATCCCAGAGAAGGAGGACAGCTCAGGAGAACGTTCTGACCATGGCCCTCTGCATCTGGTCTCTTGCAACAATGCAACACAGAAAAACTCCCAGTGATTGCAGGAAACACTCCAGGGAATACAAACTCTGTGTGTGTGTATGCGTGTGCCTGCCCACGCACACACACACACACACACACACACACACACACACACACACACAGTGGAAGGGAAGGGACGGCTAAACTGGCGAGGCCACGCTGTCCAGTCCCACACACCACATGGCTCTCTATGATTAGAGACCCATCCCCTGGTCAGCTCTACGACAGTGGCTCAGAGACTAAAGCCCTTACTGAAATTCAGGATCCAAGGGAAAACCAGCCCTCACTAGCCACCACTTTGCTCCCCAAACCCCTGCCCTGCAGGCACTGGGATAGGCCTTAAGATGAGCAGATTGTCTGAGGCCTATACAAAGCCTACTTTCCACCTTCCAGAGACTGTGGTTCCCCCACCACTGTGCCTGGAGCTCAAGACTGAAAGCACTGCTGATTCGGAGCTCAGGAAGGTATGGGGACAGCGGCGGGCATGGGCTGTTCATACAAAATGAGATGGGGGGAAAAGTAGGGAGAGCCAGCAACGCCACGAGGGGCTGACACGTAGCAGGCACAATGTCAGTTCTGGCCTTCCCCAGCACCGATTCTCCAGAAGGGACAGTCCACTATGGCTGGGGGCGGGCGGGGGTGAAGAGCCGAAGTGAGGGCATAAGTGGTCATGGCCTCTTGTCTTACACGCAGCCTTGTCTCCCGCTGCAGACACATACACTCAGAGTGGCCAGCCAGGGCCGCGACAGGGCCCAGTTCCTTTCAGGCCTCTGGTTCCTGGGGGAAGGCAGGCCCAGAGCATAGTGGCCTGGCTCCCACACCACAATTCAGACCTAATCTACTTAAGGGCAGCACTTAAGTGCGTAGGTCTAAAAGGAAGGTTCTGGGCCAGGTGGCCTCCCTGTACTTGCCTCCCTTCTACCTTAAACCTTACTGGTGCAGTTTTCTGTTCCTCAACTTCTGTGGCTGCCTCAGGGCCATGACAGAACACTGGCTGCCCCACCATGCTGCTCCCACAGCAGGGCGAGTGCTCAGGCCAACCCGGACCACTGTGGTCAGCACCCTTCCAGAGCTGCGGAGGCCTGTGGCCATGCTGAGGAGTGAGGGCCACTCCCCAGGGAGGGGACCTGGGCCTTGAAGCATCTACCCTGCCTGCGGACGTGGACAGTGAGCTCCCACACCTCGACCCGCCCCCTCTCCAGCTGCCCTGCTGCTCTGAGGCCATGAGAAACAAGATCACTGGGTCAGGCAGGCGTTCCTCAGACCATTGTGCTCAACAGGGGGACAACACCAAGACGACAGACATAGGGCAGCCTGAGAGGAGGTTACTGGGGCTGGTCCAGCAGCTGGTTCCAAAGGCTCCACCTTGCACTGGGAGGCAAGGAGGCTCAGACTGATTTTTGAACTTCAGCTGTGGAGACCGAAGAGAGGCAGGGAACTCACAGGGGTGGCCTCTACGGTTTCAGTTCTCTGGACACAGACCTCTAGGCTCTTCTCTTGGTCACGTTTAACTCAGGCCTCTAACCTGCCAGCAGAAAGCCAAGCGGCTAGACCCACTCGTCCCCGGACAGGCCTTCGGATCAGCTGCCTCCCACTCAGCCGTGGCCTTTACAGACCCACTGGGTTCATTCCTTTCAGACAAGGGCTCCTCTCCCTTCCTGCTGGGACCACTGACCTCATCTCATCTCAGATTACCTAAAAATATCCCAAATAAAAAAACTCCCAACTTTTTCTTCCCACTAGTTCACATCCCCTGAAAGGCAGACAAACCCATTTCTTTGGGGGATTAAAAAGAGTTTTTAAATACAATAGTATGAAAATATAACTTAAAAATATAAAAGTCAACAGCATACGGAAGACTTAAAAATCTATGTTTTTGCCCATTAGTCCCATAGGAAATAAACACATACTCAAAAAACATTAACACTGTGACAGCTCATAAAACCGGCTTTAGAAATCAGTAGTTACAAAGCCATTTGGAGTAAGAAAGCATTGCGGTTCCAACTTGGTCAATGAGTGACCTTTAGCCCAAAATGTGTTACATCCTCACGCCCCCCGAGCCTTGGGGAAAGGCTCTACCCAGTCTGTGTGCGCATCAGTTTTCCTGCTCAATGCCACCCAGCCAGACACAGGACGGGGCTTCTGGGCCCCTCGCAACACTGTCGGGGACAATGACAGATACACAGAACGCCTCACTTGCATATTTGGTCAGTGTTTGTAGTGCAACTGAGTGGGGACCTCCGGCTGCCTGGAGCCCCTCAGCGCTGGCCCGGCCTCCCTCTGGCAAGTCACAGCAGTCTGGGAGCGGGCCGAGACGGCGAGAGGAGTGGAGGTAGAAGAGGAGGGGCAGAGAGGAGGGAAGGAAGGACACTGCGCAGCGACCACCTGCTGACCCGAGGGGGCCCCCATGCCTGACCCCAGCACAGGAGCGCGTCAGACCGGCAGCCCGAAGCGGTGCTTCTTTTTCTTCGCAGGCTTCAGGGGGGTCAGTCGGCGCAGGTCCTCCTCCGTGTCAGACTCCTCCATCTCGTCGTCAGCGGAGATCAGGATCTGGGGTGGGGGACAGGCACGACCTGAGTCACCACCGGCGGGGCCTTCTTCCTCTGCCCTCCCTGCACCCTGGCACTGGGGTCTCAGGTTTCTTTAGGGAAGGGTGACAGGGAGGTTCCTTTACAGAGTGGGACCACCCCAGATGTCGCTTACTCTTAGTGTAGTCATGGGCTCCTGAAGCCAGTACTGAGTGGACATGCCCACCCCTAGCTTCTCCAGCCAACCTCCAGCTGGGACGGAACCCCAGTCAGAGCAAACTCAGCAAGGACCCCCACCCTGAGATCATCCTGGTAAACAAGCCCAATCTGGACACAGAGCGTCCCAGGTCCTGGAAGGTACCCTACAGACAGCAAAAGCAAACTGAAAAGTCCCTTTCCAGAGGAGAAGAGAACCTCTGTGGAGCACACACAAGGCAGGCCACGTTCAGATCAGCTGCTTTGAACCAACTCTGCAACTTGTGCAGACGAACGGGAGCCCTGCGCTTTTCTCAGCGTCGGGAAGGACTTGGCCGTGGGGCAAGGGCACCCGGGCCAACACAGACCCTTCCTGCCCACCTGCCATGCTGCTTGCGGGCTCCTCAAGCCTCTGAGCACCGGGAAGCCCAGGGACAGTGCACCATGAGCTCCTTCTCTCCCAGGGAGGGGACAGCTGTTGTCACCTCTCCCCAGGCCACTCCCCTGGGGGGGTCCCTGGTTAGACCTCTCTGGCTTCCTGCCGCCCGTCCAGGCATGGCCGCATCATGAGGCACCTTGCCCGTCTGGCTGAGACCTTTGCCTGTACCTCATTCCGTATCACTCCGTCCTTCCCTACGGGACACACGCTGCTCTGGCCATGAGGGTTTCCACGTGACCCAGAGGCCACCCCACGTGACCACAACCCCTCCTGAGTGATTGCTTCTGCCTGTAGTGTTGCCACTCATCTAAACATTCATTACGACAGGATGGGCCCCGTCCCAGATCCTGGGGACAGCTAGAGAAGATATGGGCTTACCCTCTGTCCTGCTCCTCCAGCCAACTTTCCAAACTCCTCCCAGGAGGCCCCCGGGAATCAAACAGACCATTCCAAGGTCCTCACAGGGCTTTGTGAGCGTCTCAGTGTCAGAAGGATCACACCGTGTGAGAAGGACCTATTCAGACACTCACCTTCACCTCATCCAGTCTGAAGGTCTCTCAATGAAGACATTACCTCAGCCATTTCTGCCTCAGCCATTTCTGCCGCCCCACCCTCACTGCAGAGCTGCGCACACCGAGAAAGCTGATGAGGCCTCTCAGGAGACGGCCCTGGCCTCACCCCGTAGCATGCAGTGGGCAGGCCACCCAGGAGCATCACTCTGCCTCCATGCTTCTGTTGATGACCACCAGTCTCCCCGAAAGTCCAAACCTTTGAACTTAGGAAACCTGACAATAAGGGCAGGGGAGGTTCCCAGGAAGGTCTAGCTACCCCTACATTTTAGAAGTTTCTAGTGGGCTTAGCCAACACTTCTGCTGGTCTGTAGTGGTAGGCAGGGACTGAAACACCTTAAGGCTTGAAGGTCAACTATCAGGCCCATGAGAGTCCTTGCCAGCTTCCCTGGAACAAGGCAGCCTCCCTCTTCCCTGTCTTCCTCCACTGGCGGAGGTCCCGACTGTCAGAGATGAGCTCCCACCACCCCATCGGGCACTCCACCTCCCTGCCGTGGGAAGGCCAGGGGACGCAGGAATGGATCCCTCCCTGCTGGATGGAGCAGTCAGCCTCTTCTTTCTCCCCCTGGCCAGGGCTGGGAAGACCAGATGCAGCAGAGGCCAGAGACCCCATTGGGATGGGGTGTGGCATGAGGGCATGGCCCTACCTCAGACTCTGACTCTTCGTGGGACGCGGCCCTTCGATAGCGGACCTTGCTCCCGTTCCTCGAGTCCTGGTTGGCTCCCCTTTCTTCTAGTTTAGCTTTCGTCCTCCCCTTCCTCATGAGGAAATTGTCCACTACCCAAAACATCAAAGCCTGTGGGGAAGAAACGTGCATTTTACTCTGGGATAAGGCATCTGTCAAAGTACAGCAGATCCCCATTGCCAACCTTCCCACCTGCTCCTGATTACGATGTCCAGAACAAGGGGAAGAAAAGCCTCCTCCAGTCCCCCAGCTCTCTCACAAACTTACAAAGAGATTCCCACCCTCCACATCCTTTGCTTCTGCTTTCTTATTGGAGAACCAGCAAGAAAACCCTAGTCCTCTTTACCCTGAGTGCTGGTAACCGCTGGGGACTAGCCACTGGAGAGGTTTCCAGGTTCCTACTGTGGGCTGAGAGGCTGGCCTGCGCACTCTGCCACGACTGTCAGCCCCACGTGACTTTCTTGTTCCTTCCATTTTCTAACTTCTAGCCAGCATGCTTATGAGTCTCTCTTGGAGCTCTGGGGTCAGGGATGAGACGGGCTGGATTCCGAACATCCCGATCTACAAGCTGCTCGCTGTGCATGCGGAGGGCCTCCTCGGCGGGAAGTCCCCAGCAGGGAGGGCAAGACAAAGTTCTCAGGCCCTCCCTCTTGCACGGGGAGCCTAGAGGAGGGATCTGCCTGCTGAGGAAGCAATCCTGCCATTTCCAGGTGTGGGGTGGGGAGGGGCCTGGGGGCTGTAAGGGGCTTTCTCTGTCAGACTCGGAACTGTGAACAGGACACTGGAGGGCAGGGAGTACGTGGGGATAAAATGCAACATGGCACTGACATTGACAAAGAAGGGGACGATCAGCATGACGATGGCCAGTTTCAGGTCTGGGTTTTCAATGGGGTTCAACAGGGCCACCTGTAAAGAGAAGCAGACTCCGTGAGGTAGGGAGAGACCACATAGAAGGGGCCTGGGGGTAGCGGGGCAGCAGCACACATCATCCATGAGGCCCTGAGAAGGGTGGCTTGTCTCAGATGACACTCCCCTGGATCCCTGATGGGAACAGTGCCTCATGGTTAGGGCTGCATGGTCAGTCCCCAGGTGGGAATGCTGACAAGGGACAGATCCCCGGGAGGGGAGAACACCTGCAGCAGTTAGGGTTTTAGCCGCCTTCCTAGTGCCACGGACCTGGGAAGCGTAATGGGCTTACAACCACCAAGCAGGGCAGGGCCCACCCACCAGGCAGCACGGAGGGTAGCGGTGGTGGGGCTTCGGGGTGTTGGAGAGAATGAGGTCAGTGGATGCCCATTACAGATACTAGCAGTGAGGGACCAGACCATTTTCTAGCAGAAATCCCGCACCCCATCCACCTCCTGAAGGACAAAAGCTCTGAAAAGCCTTGGTTTATTTTCTTGAAAAATAAAATTCAGACACAAATAAAACCAAAGGAGGGGCACCTGGGTGGCTTAGTCAGTTATGCGTCAGACTTCAGCTCAGGTCATGATCTCAGGGCAGCAAGAAGCCTGCTTTTCCCTCTCCCTCTTGTGCTCCTGCTTTCTCTCAAATAAATCAGTAAAATCTTAAAACAAAACAAAACACACACACACACGACAACAACAACAAAAACAAAGGAAGGCCAAGTTCTGAGCTACTCGAAGACTCTTCAGCCGGTTCCATGCGGCCATGTGGAGGACTTGGGCAGTGCAGGGCCCAGCACTGGGGCCAGAGGGCAGGGCCGAGGGAACCCTGGGAACAGCCTGTGAGCAGCTGTTTCCTGCAGCCCCCAGAGTCTTGATTAAACCACTGGCCAAGAAAAGTGTGGAGGACATGTGCAAGTGGAGAGACACCTTCCCGATAGTTACAGTAGTGAGGCTTGTAGACTGTCTCAGCCAGGAAGCAGCCCAAGGGCAGGGACGCTCGTCCCCACTGGCCTTCTATATCGCAAAGCTTTTTTTTTTTTTTTTTTTTTTAAAGATCCTATTTATTTATTTGACAGACAGAGATCACAGGGAGGCAGAGAGGCAGGCAGAGAGAGAGAGAGGAAGGGAAGCAGGCTCCCCGCTGAGCAGAGCGCCCGATGCGGGGCTCGAACCCAGGACCCCGGGATCATGACCTGAGCCGAAGGCAGAAGCTTTAACCCACTGAGCCACCCGGGCGCCCCTGTATTGCAAAGCTTAATCGAGGGCAGGCACTTACACTATTCAAGCAGACGGATGCTAAGTGAAAAACCAAGGTCCTGCTCCCCACGGGCAAGCCAGACCGAGTTAGTGGAGGTGAGGGTGAGCGAGAAGGAAAAGAAAGAAAAGATTTGGTTTTCCAGTAAGGTTGGGGCATGTGGGTGGTAGGGGAACAAGTACTGTCTTGCTTGGCGGCCCAAGGAGCTGCTAAAGAATGGACAAGAAGCAAACCTTTTTCCACTGAAGTATGAGGAGAACGATGAAGACGACAGACTTTTCAAAAATCATGATCACGATGTAAAGAGCACACTGCCCAACCCAGGCTCCGCACTGCAGAGGGTCTCCTGCAGGGACAGCAGGTGCGCAGTCACACGGGGCCCGGACGCCAGGACCCAAGCCCATGTCCCCGCCCCATGCCCACAGCTCCTAGGAGCCCTCGGGCTCCCCAGCCCACCCCAGACCCTGGCTCTAAAGCCACTTCACAAGCCCCCGAAGCACCAGGAATCACTTCAGCCCCACCAGACACATGCAGGTGTTTTAGACAAAATCACAGAATTCCTAATTTGGAGATACCAGAGTGGGGTTTCTTTTAAGAGATTCTAGGATATAATTAAGGAGACTAAAGTTAGTAAGTGCTCACTGTCAGGGCTCAGAGAGCTGGCTCTTTCTGTCCACGGGCAGAGCTGTGTGAAGGAAGACTGCTATTATTATCTGTTGTTGATTTTTCCAGTGACTGTGGTGTTATCCATCCTTTCCTCCACCTGTGGACTGCCTGATGTTTGTGACTACAGAGGCAGCAAATCTCCCCTTTGCTGGTCTGCTGCCCCGAGCCAGTCGCCCCGGCTGCTCCTGCTGCCCTCAGCCCTGAAAGCAGAACTCGGACTGGAGGAATCCTGATTCTGTCTCTATGAGGTAGCCCAAAACAGCTGCACTGGGGACAGGGAAGGAAAGTGGAGGCAGAGAGGCAGGAGGGAGGGGCTGTGCGTGGGGCCGTGACAAAGGTCCATCTGTGACCCATCCGTCACTGTACTTGAGAAATGGAGAAAGGCAACAGTCCATGCTGGGGCACACGCAGGTCCTGGAGGGCCTCCAGAATGTTTCAGAAAAGACTAGAGGAAGCGTGGAGGACCAGCCCCAGGGACAGATCTATATCCTTGGGGACAGGCAGAACTCATGGGATGGGCCCCCAGGGAGCCACACATGCTAAAGTGGGAGACCTAGGGAAGAGCCAGGGGATGGTGGGAGGCAGCCGGAGCCGGCTCTGGACACTCTGCTGGGGTTGCCTGAGCACCACTGGCCAGAAGAGGGGTGGAGGGCAGCACTTCAGGGGAGGCAAAGGCCCCCGTCTAGGCTGTGAGGCGAGAACTTGCCCCAGAGAGAAGGCTCTGGTTCCACTGTGCGATGGGAGGTTTCTGCAGCCATCCCCGTCCAGGCACGGGTGCCGGAGCAGGCCCAGCCCGGCCAGAGCCTGCCATCGGGACGCTGTGGGAGCGCACATGAATGCCTTCGCACAGCTGTAATGGACACCACACCAGGCCATTCCCTTTTCTGGAAAACCTCGGGAGAAGGGTGCAGAAAGCATGCAGAGAGCCATCAGGGCTGCTGCTAAGCTTGCCCTACTTTCACTTCTGGTATTAGACACATCTGAGCCAAAAAACCACTTTAGAAGCACAATCCCTCCAGCTAGATTTTTAATGCAGTGCTGGAATCCCTTCAGTCAACTACGTGGCCTTACTGAGAAAAGTTCTCAGAAGTAACAAATCAAAATATTTGTCAAAAATCATTAAGATCAGAGACCAACAGAAAGCACTAGTAGGAAACATCTCTGAACAGGGACCAGCGCATTTCAAGTCAGCAGACTAAGGGGCCACACTTCATGTCAAAAGAAAATGTGCTCGTTCCATGTGCCCGTAAGCTTGCAGTGACTGACAGAGAGGGACAGACGCCCCGAACCCCGCATTGCCCCCACACTGTTAAGTGTCAGCGCCATAGCTCGGCCACGGTTGCGTCTTCATTTACATGCTTTAAAAGGACAGCTAAAAAACATGGTAAGAAAAGGGAAAGTCCTCTGTAAATGCATTCCCCTCACTCTCCTCCTCCTCCACGTCCAGACCACCAGGAGCCCCGGCTGGAATGAGCACATGTGCCGGTCTGCTTTGCTCCTTGGAGAGCCTCCCAGACGTTCCCCACTGTCTCACTGTTCAAGGACAGACATGCCAGGCATTATTGACATGTTCTGGACAATCTCAGGTAGACGGGTGTTGTGTTTGTTGAACAAATTCCTCAGGAGAAATCGCAGGGATAGGGCACAAACGGACAGAACCTGTCTGTCTCCCAAGGCTTCAGGAAGGGAGCATCAGGACAGGGCCAGACAGCAAAGCCCACAGACCACTGGTGCCCATGGGACACAGACCTGCCTTCAGAGCGTCTGCTGTGGGAAATACTGCCTGGTCATAAAACCGCAAGCACACCTATCACCTGGATTTTGTCTCCCCGCTCAGGGCTGTGTGACTTATTCCCCAAGTCCCATGTGCTTGTTGGTAAGTTCAGCCTCTCCTCTAAAGACAAAGGAAGCACCTAAAAAACAAAGCCCTCTTCTTCACTTAGCTGAGAAGAGAGCTATGGGGCCGACATGGAAATATTGCCTCAAGAAGACGGGCCAGTTAACAGGTGTGGCAGGTGAAATGTGGCCCCACAGACACATCCACACTTGAGTCCCAGGGACCGGGGACTATGGTAAGTCTCGTGGCCCAGGGCAAGTACGGCTGCTAACCAGCTGCCTCTTAAGATGGGACAGCATCCTGCAGTATCTGGGGGGCCTGGCGCACTCACACGGGCACTGGAACGAGATCTGGAAGGAGAGCAGGATACCATCGGAGAGGAGCCTTACCCGCTGCCTCAGGGGACAGGGGGCCACAAGCAGGGAGGGCGGTCAGCCTCTTAGGAGCGGCAGACTGCCAGGATATGGATGCCCCCTCTAGAGGCTCTAGAAGGAAGCAGTCCGGCCCACACCTTGACTTTAGCCAGGGCGACCCAGGTGGGATGCCTTACTACACAGTTGTAACGTGAGACACCTGCTGTCGGAAGCCACTAGTTTTGTGGAAATTTCTTGTAGCAGTGACAGGACACAAGAATACAGGTAGAAATAGAAATCAGGTTAAGAGGATGTGCACCGTCCTCCCTCAGCCCGGGGAGGGAGGACTCAGGATGGTCATCTGGAGACACCCTGGTTTGAAGGCTCTGGGAAGACGAGGGTGGGAATGGGTGGTGCTCTAGGACCGGACCTGCTCTCCCTCTGGCGGGTAGTCAGGGTTGTGGGGGCGGGGGGTGTCACTGAGTGGCATGTGACTGGTTGCGGTGGCTCTCCGCAGTGCTGGTCACTACAGCTGAGTCGAGAGCAGCCTTCCAGGATAGATCTCAACAGCAAGCAGTGAGCAGCTCTGATCTTGGAGGCAGTGGCAGATGAGACCATGCCCGCCCCCAGCTGTGCGCTGGCTTCCAGAGTCACTTAACTCCTCTGGGTACCTAGCCTATAAGTGAGGATGACGCTGTGGTCCACAGGTGTCCTCCAAGCAGAGGGATCATGACTCGGGGCTTCTCAGAAGACTTCCATTGAGCCACAGGAGCGTATGCCGTGTGTCACATGCTATCTTAAGTCCGTGACTCATCAGGCATCAAGTAACAGGGCTAAGAAAAGCCCTCCCCTGAGTTCATCTCCCCTCAATAGAGAAAAACAATGACTTAAGATTTCTAGAAATACCCAAGGTGCTCATATAGTCGGCCCCACGGATCGGCTCCCCTCTACTCGTTAATGCCTTATGAGGCTTCAGTCATCTAGAAGTGAGTGGCCCTGAAGCTGCGCCAGGAACTCCACAGAAGGGGTGACCAGGAAAGGAGAGTGGAGATCCAGAATTCCTTCCTTCTCGTCCTGTGTGTCCCTAGGTGGCTGAGGCCCCACTGATGCTGTTCTCACTGAGACCAGGAGCTCGTGATCCCAGACATCAGGGGCCAGGTGTGAAGGTGGGAGAGACCTGTCATTGCCCCTTAACTCCGGGGCCTGAGTGCCCAGGGTGTGGCAAGGCCTGAGGAAGGCATCTCACCACAGCCCCGTGGAGGCTACCGCCACGCTTCTCTGGGCAATGTATCTGTGCTCAGAGAGTGTGAGGGCAGCTTCCTAAGCAGGCCCTTGTCCTGGGTCTCTGAGGAGAGGGGAGGGGGTCAAAGATGAGCCAGCAGCCACAGGTCACCTGTTTTAAGGCTCACCTGTGAGTGAGGACGGACCTGGGGTTCCTGGTGACAGCATGCACCCAATGCTGGTGGGAGGCCAGCCTCCAGTTAGGAGACAGTAAGGTGACTTGGCCGTGGGGTGGGGATGGATAGTCCTGTAGCGAGATGGCCCAATGACAGGACAGGCAAAGACGCGCAGCAGAAGAGGGCCACCTCCCATTTCTCTAATGAGGTAGGCGGGTCCTGTGCGCTGGGTGAGAAGCCCAGCAGGGTGAGGTGGCCTCTGGCCTCACGGCCTGCAGGTGGGGCCACCGGTGCCCCCTGGTGGAAGAGGCCAGAGCTGGGCCCCTCCCCATGTCTAGGGTCTCCTGGCTCCTGCCACCGAGTGGCAGTGAAGTGTGCTCCTCCACACCTCATGTGTGGACATGAGTGTCTTGACACTAGCAGGGCGATGGTGTTCGGGCCCCAGAACCAGCCCCCTGACCAGAGGATACAGCCACCAGCTCCTGAAGCTTCCAATCCACCAGCCTGGAGAGCTGACTGGGGCGAGGAGGAGAGCGCCACCCCTGCCCCCCCGAAGGCCCCCTCTACACCCCCATCCAGTGTCCATGCCACATTACCATATTCGCCAAATCGCAAGGACTCCCACTGCTGCCACTCCACCAAGACGCTGACGGCGCGCACCCCCACGTAGATGAGCAGCATGCCCACGGTGGCGTCCAGGAGGAAGTTGATGAGGTACCTGGGAGGACAGCACACAGTAGCGCCATCAGGAAGCACCACCCAGGCAGCAAGGGCCCCTGAGCCCAGCCCTGGGTGCTTACCAAGACCGACTTCAAGCCTGAAGTCCCAGCACTTTGGCCTGTTCTGGGGGGGCCCATGCAAGTCTCCGGGGCTCACTTCCAGGAGCCCCAGCGAAGCCTCCCCATGATAGCATCAGACACTCATCGGGGTCAAAGAACTCGAGGGAGGAGTAGATAAGGGACAGAGAAACTTGAAAGACCCCTAACACTCCCACCAAGGAAAGACTTGACCCAGGACAGAGTGCCTAGAAACAGCAAGGACGTCAATAGGGAAAAAGAACTTAATTCATTAAAAGAAATCTGCACCTTGATGCTGTTCACATGCACGACCCTGAGCTAGTGCTACTGCTCCACGGCGGTTTAGGACGTGGCTTCTGGAGTTTTTTAGACCAAAGAGGGCAAGGCCACAGGACCCTCTCTCATCCCCATGTTTCAGAGCCTGCCATGGAGGCAAGTGTATTTCTAGAGAGAGCTTCACTCCCATGGAAAAGGCAGGCTGACAGAAGGAGAGTAGGGTCAGAAGAGCTCTCCCACCATGATCCTGTGTTCTTGTACAGTCTGTTTCCATGTGTCCGACACACACTTCCTCCCTCACTAAGGAGAGGCCCTCCTCAAGGGCCCTGTACCCGGATCTTGCCAGGCACCCTGACCACAGGTGCCAGCGCTCCAGACAAAGCAGGAGACAGGCAACCACTGGGTCAGGTACCGGCCCCCTGGGATGCCAAGTGGCTTGGAAAGCTCTCCAAGTAGTTCCAGATGCCACAGACCAACTGTGGTGCTTTCCCGTTGCTGAGGCCGGAGATATTTCATGCAGAGTCTGAGCCCCCACCTAGAGACCGAGGCTCTGGGGCTGGGCACACGCTGACTCTGGAGGGGGCTCACCACGGGGCCCAAGCGTGGCCAGAAAACCAGAAAGGCGGACCGCGTGTCTCCGCCTGCCTTTCCTCGTTAACATCACAAGGGGTCACTCTCAGACCAGAGACCAAGGCAGAGCAGCTGAGTCCAAGGCGACTTCTCCAGGCTCCCAGCTGGCCCCAGACTAAACTGCTCTCAGATGCTTACACCTAACTGGTTTCAAATGGTTCTCACATCTGAGGCTCACCCTGAAAGTCACAAGAACTCGTGACAGACATGTGTTGGTTCATTCATTCCCTCCCCAAACATTTACGCCTATTGGACGCCAGGCCCTGTGACGAAAGACGGAATGCTCCCTACAGTCTACCCAACACATATGAGGCCGGGGGACAGGCTGGCTTCAGATCCCAGCTCCATCACTATTCGTCCGTGTGAATTTAAGTTCCGTGCTCTCTCTGTGCCTCAGTTCCTCAGGCTGTAAAACAAGGATAACCAAAGTATCTAAACTGTAGGGCTGTTATCGGCATCAAATGACTCAGTAAGTGTGAACAATGCCTGCCATGTAGTAGGCGCTAGACCAATGTGTGGTTTGAATCCTGGCCCCTCAGAGTCCCAGAACCCTGGATGTCACAAATGCTTAACTTCCTTCCAAAGTATCTGGACGGAGCAAGGAGCAGAGCGCCCAGCCCACGGGACCCCTGCACCCACAGGGGCAGCTCGTCCCCCTCTGTACGTTTCTGGTCTCCCGGAGCTGAAGCTGGCCTCCCTTCCGGTCTGCAGCTTCCCAAGATGCCTCAAGGCCCGCCCGGCCCAGCCTATCCCCAACTTGTGAAAAGTCACAGGGCAGAGCCAGGATGGCAGGACCTGGAACAGATCCCAGGGCCTGGGCACCTTCCAGTGCCCAAACACTGCCTGCTGCTGGGCTCTCACACCTTTCCTAACTTACAACAACATCCTCCAACTGAACTGTTAACTCCCTCACTGAGCAGCGACCCTATGGTCCCCCGTGGCGCTTACACTCAACAAGTCCTGAAACCTGCCCAGGAATCCTGGGGATCTGGTGGGACACAGGCCAGAGGAACCAAGTGGGGCTCGGTCTGGCCTCTTAGTCAAGTGCCTTCACCATACCAAGCTCCACCTTGAGCCCTTCCTCCTCCAGGCGGAGCACTTGAGAGTTGCCAACAGCCCCTTCTCCCTCCTGGCTGTGATTCAGTCTGTCAATGTTCTTCTTACAGCCGTACGGTCTTCGCTTTGCAGACGGCCAGTGGAGGTGCTGCAGGGGAGAGGCACGCGGCCGACACCGCATGAGGAGTAACCTTAGTGCCTCCAATGTCAGCCGCTGCCTTGTGGGCCATCCCGGTCAGCAACGTCAAGACCATTCACCAGAGGATGACTCCAGCCTGCTGGGGGCTCAGGAGCTGGAAGGACAACCATCTCCTAAGCATCCCCCTGCGGGAGGATTACCTTTCCAGTCACCGACTTTGGGAATGCACCCAAACGTCCAAACAGATCATAGCCTTTCCAGGTCTCAGAGAGACTCTAGGCAGGGAGACTTCATAGCTTCCTGCTGAAATCTCGCCCTGGACTAAATCTGCAGTCACCAAAAAAGGAGGCTTGAAAAGAATCTTCCAGTCCAAATGATCTTAAACATACACGAAGCCTCTTGGCAAGGGACTCCCCAGCTCTCCGCCCTGGTCTCTCAAAGGCGGGGCAGGACAGCGGTGGGGGTGCTCCAGGCAGAGGGCAGCGTGAGCAAAGGCATGGAGGCAGGAGACAGCTGGCGGGGTGGAAGGCCTCCAGCACAGCATGACGGGAGGAACAAGTCTGAGCCTTGGAATGAAGGAGATGGAGCTGGGACAGGGTAGGGGAGTCTCTTTTCCCACTCCCTCGGCTAAGAGAGGCACCATTATGAGCCAGAACCACCCTTGGTGTTCAGGTCCAAGAGGTCAATGATGATCCACAGTGGCTTTGACCCCAAGCAGCTGGCACCACAGAGAAGCCCCCCATGGGTCTTATTCTAGCAGAGATACTCCTTCAGGGCACTACGCTGCCCCACCAGGGGCCACTCCCTACTGGGAGACAGAAGGATTACTAGAACGCCAAGGGCCAGAACTCAGAGAAGCAGCGAGTCAACGCACAAAGCCCTCACAGCCAGCTGACAGCTGTGTGTGTGAACCCACAGGCAGCACAGACGGGGGGGGGGTCTCTCAGGGGAGCAAAGAGCACAAAGTGGGGGCTGCCCCCTACCCAAGCTAGAGGGAACACGACTGGTGGCTGAGAGCAAGGCCAGTCTGCATTTTCGGTGGACAGGTGGGTGACGTTTCTCCTCGGATACGGGCCACTTACAGTGAGCAAGGGTCCTCTTCAGTGAGATCTGCTAGGTACACATTTGCAAAGTGGATGAACAGCATTCCTATGGCTTGTTTAGAAGTGTCTAAAAACCTGTACAAAACAGGATCAGCACTTGTTACCATCCTGACAGGAGGGTTATACCCAATTTGGGGAAAATGAGAAGTCTGAAACAAGAAGAAAGCCACTGGGGAGCTCCCAACCTTCCCTTTATTAGGTGCCTCTTTCTGAGGCGTCGGCACGAACTCAGACTTGGTGTCTCAGCGACCTTTCAAAACCTTCAGTAAAACCGCATCTGAACTCCCTAAGAGGCCGCAGATTTAGAACACATACTTAAATACGTTAAACACATATTTAAAATAGGTGTGTTTACTTTTTCACTTTTTGTCACTTCAAAATGAAATGCTGGATCCCGGCTTTTGATGAGGTCCAGGGCGCCTCTGTTTTAAAGAGGTCCCGCTCGACATCCCTCTGAGCTGACGTTCATCTGTGCAAGACCAACAGGACACGCAGGTCCAGCCCCGCAGCTGAAGCCCCAGAGATTCCGGCTGCTGCGGTGTATGCACTGTACTACGTGGGGCGGGCAACCTCCCTCTGTAAAGGGTTGGAGAGTCTTTAAAGACTCTCTTGAAGAGGTCGGCCGCTGGTCCTCCTGCCACCCCACGTGAAAGCGGCCGCAGAGCCCGCCGTTCCCGTAACACTTTATTAGGAAAATGGACAGTGGGCCACACTGGGCCCGTGGGCCGTAGTCTGCCAACCCTCGGACTAGATGGCCGGAGTTTCAAAAGAGAAGAAAACAAGGGTGTTCTGGGGGCACCCACTGACCCGTCCAGACAGGGCCTTTGGTTTCTCCTCTGCCACGAACACCTGGAGACCGCGGCGGTCTGTGGCCAAGGAACCTCTAGACTGGGGCCAAGTCTCCTGGCCTCCTGGGCTAGGCACTGAGGGCTGGGCCGGGCCACTGAAGGGGGTCATGAAGGGGCACACAGGCACTGGACAGCAGCCATGGGTCTTAGGAATGAACGGACCTTAACGATTATCCAGACCAACCCTATGACTGAAGCTTGAAAATCATTTCCTAAAATATTGGCAAAGCAGAAGTCCCCAAAAGGCAATGTGTGCCCCACAGAGTGCCCCAATTCCAGACCCTCCCCAGGTCCCCCGGCCTAAGCTAGATACCCAGATTTGAGAGAAACCGATGGGGGAAAATTAAAAACAAGACTGATCAACATTCACAAGTAAGGCACTGAAGATCAATCAAGCGTGTGCTCCCACTGCTGTCAAGGTACTTTAACACACTGATTTATCTGGAGTCTTCTCTGCAGGGCAAAATGACTGTTCTGTTAGCACAGCTGCAAACCTAAGGCAGCCCAAGAGAGTCTGCTTCTAGTGGACATCACGTTGTTCTGAAGAGCTGGCTGTGCCCTTCTTTCTGGAGTTCTGTCTTTGAAGGCGGTATCCGAAGTTCTACCTCCCTTTAATGAAGGACAAATTGCTACCACGGAGTCATCCTAGGACCAGAAAAGACGAGTTTTGGGGAGAGGAGCATTTCCATGGTGTATCTGACTGTCTCCAGATTCAGAGAATGCTCTGCTCACACATACAGACTACAGAACCCAAGGATTTCTCACGACCTAACAACACAGAGACATAATTAAAGGAGCTCGCTGCATATACTGACCTATCTGTCCCAACCTCTCTTTCCTAAAATTGGGCAGCTGTGTGATGACAGAATAAAGGCAGAGCCTGACGTTACCTAGAGGAACTTCTAGAAGTCTTTTGTATTAGACGTAGTTCCTGAGATGATTACTCCAGCTAAGGGATTCCAAGACTTTATGTGATGCAGAATTGCTCCCATTGCCCACCCCCCTCCCCCCGCAAACCCCAAAGAGTCAATGGCATTCTAGGAAGGTGTTCATATGTACATACGCACCATATCCTCCACGGCCGTCTCTCGTGCTTTGGTTCTCTGAAGCGCTTGACTGGAAGAAAACACACACATTCAGCGGCTTGCCACAGCGACAACAAAGCAAAATGCATACAAGGAGGGTTACCAGCACACTCGGGGTTGACACTCTAAGTCAAGGTCCTTGCTCTTTTGACATGTGACAATGGACACTAAGCCGTGAAGGTCACAGAGGCCCTGTGCTGCGGGAGACCAGCACAGCCTTGTCAGAACTGGACATTGAGGAAGAACAACGCCTCACAGGATGTGGAGAGCTGTGTTTTCTTCTCCTCTGTCACGAGGTTCTCTCAGAGAGGGCCTGGAGACCACAAAGTGGAAGGCAGCTACTTCCAGCTTCAGGATATGCTCCACACCCAGTGACAAATCCATTCAGCCCCCCACCCGCCCCACCCAAACAGTCACTGGGTGCCCACTCCAAGCCGGGCACTGAGGACACAAAGGCAGGTGTCTGGCAGGAGGGCAGGCGCGTAACCATCTAGTGAGGCAAGTGCCAGAGGACAGGTATGTCTGAGGCGGGGTGAGGGCACAAGGGAAGGAGGACCACCCCTGGCTGCCTGGAAGGACACTGGCCAGGAGAGGCGGCCCCGGGGGGGAGGGGACAGAGCACACACCGCGAGCTCACAGGGACAGGGACATAACATGGCAGACAAACCGAGCAGGAGCCACGTGACGGAAGGTCTTGAATACCAGGCTAAGGAGTGTGGAATGAACCGTGTAGGGAAGGGAAAGCTGGGACAGAGTGGTAGGCAGAATCAAAGACATGGCTGGAAGTGTGTTTTAGACAAATGGCTCTGAATCATGTAGAAGGTGGGTTCCTGGGGCTGGAGAAAATGCTGGCTAAGCCCCGGCACCAGGCAGGGGTGCACCCCACTACAGAACAACCAGTAGGGGTGCGGTGCTCCTTCAGCCACAGGCCAACCTCATATGGCAGAGGGCTGCCGAGACGCACACCTTCACCTCGGGTGCGTAGACACAACCCCAGCAGACTGAATCCACAAGTCTACCCACGAAAACCGGCCCCTCACACAAGTACCAAGGAAGGGACGCACGGATGCAAGCCCACAGAGAATGTCTCCTTCCTATGGGCAGGAGGCGAGAACCGACTTCTGGCAGAGCCCCGAGCTGCCCATGAGGGTGCAGGAGGAGCAGGAGGAGGAGACAGGGAGGGAGACCCCGGTGGTGCCCAGATCGATCCACCCTACTTCTCTAAATGAACATAAGCCTCCTGCAGTTTGCAAAGCGAGAGCTGTTTGTTCACAGAAACAAAACAGGTCTTGGGTTCAGAGAGTCATTTTGAGCGACCAAAAAACAGGAGGAGCTGTAAGGAGCGCTGTGACCCTGTTGATTCATCATAGAGCCGAAATACCAACCACGTGGCAGGACCTGGGGGTGGGGCCAAGAGGTTCTACTCACCCAGACGGTTCTAAGAGGCAGGGGCCGCTGCCCCGCAAGTACGCACGTCTCCCCGGGCTGTCAGGAAGGAGACACAGAGCAGACTGCGCCTGGACAAAACCCTCTGGAGGGAAAGCCCCCAGTTAGGACCAGAGCCACGTCACGCATATTTGTGCTTCTGCCTCAGGGGACTCTGTCCCCATCAGTATGAGATCAACACAACCTGAGGAGAACGTCCTCCTTCTGAGGAGACACATGCTGAAGTACCAGAATGGCTGCAGCTCCCCTGCAACCAGTTTACAGAAAAAAATGACATGACATGCATTACAGTTATATGAAGTAACTGCATGACAAGTCGTGTAATACATTAGAAGTAATAAACACAGTATCAGCTATTATATAATACACCTGTTACTTATACTAATATGACCCAAAACATATAAGGAGAAGCAAATGTGGTGTTATGGGCCAAATCATGTCCCCACTCCCCCAATTCACATGTTGAGGTGCTAACCCCCAGGACCTCAGAATGTGGCTGTAGTTGGAGACAGTCTTAAAAGGGTAATTAAGGTAAAATGAGGTCACACGGGTGGGTCCTAATCCAGTAGGGCTCATGTCCTTATAAGCAGAGATTAGGACCCACAGAGAGGCATGGGCCATCATGTGAGGACCCCCTGAGAAGGGGCCATCTGCAAGCCGAGGGAGAAAGGACCCAGAAGAATCCAACCCTGCCCACACCTTGACCTGGGACTTCCAGCCACCCAGTGCGTGGTACTTTATGTCAGCCCTAGCACACGGGCACAGGCGGCAATGTAATAATGGGAGAACCTGGATGAAGGATATTTGAGTATTCGTTAAATGACTAGTTGGACTTTCCTGCAGATTTAACATTTTTTTGAAATAAAAAATTGGGAGGAAAACATACCGTAAAACGCACGCATGAGTATAGCCATTTGGAGGTCCATCTGGCAATGTCAGTCAAAGTTCTCAGTGCCCAGGTCCCTCTAACCTGCAAGGCACTGCCAGGGATGTGTTCTACAGGCATTACTGCAACACGTGCCAAGACGTACAGGGCTCTGCACTATAAGATTGCCCGAACAACCCAGAGGGAAACCAGTGTCTGTCGTTGTGAGGTTGGGGACACACACCACGGTACAATGCAACATTAGGCTGTCACTGGAAACAACAAGGTCATCCATATGGACTGTTACATTAATAATATGCCTCCCGTGATTCCGCTCATACCCATTTTTTGGGTTCATATCCATTTTTAAAGGATAAATAAATATTTATGTTGGTGTTATGCATGTGTTTCTTCCCTAAAAGGATACTTGGCTATTACTAAGGACTGCCTTTGATGAAAGGAATTAGGGTTCAGGGGAGTAGACCTTCTGTATCATTCTGAATGGTTTTAAACATTCTTCTATTTTCACATGGCTTTTACTTTAGAGTTACAAACAAAAGACAACCTGTGTCAGAGACCTGTGCTAAGATGGCAAAGTGGGACATGGGGGATGCAGGGTGGGTCACGGCTCTGGGATAAGAAGGGGGAAGGCTGTGTGTGGGTGCTGGTCCGTGCTTAGGGTGTGGCCTCACACAGGAGCGCCTCAGATGGGATTCAGGACGCATTCAGATTCTCCTTAAACAGAGGAGTGTGACTCCTGCCTTCTTCCTCTCCATCTGCCATCCCCTCTCCTCAGAATATTTCAGCATCTAAAATCTTTTTATTTTTTAATTAAACGCAGAAGAAACATTTAAAGAGCTCCTCAAGATCTAACATGTCAGGAAAACTCGGGAAACTTCGTTCACCCACGCAGTTGTGCTGTACCAAGGGGCCTGTGCTGTGACAGGCTGTGTTCAGGGGACGAAAGAGAAAAAATCCTTGCCTTCCTTGCATTCTCGGGATGGGGCAACAGTGACACTAGAACAGGAAAGGAGAGAGGTCTGGGAAGCGGTTTTGCTGATCAGGAGGTCTGGAAGGTGGGCCAAGACCAGAAGGAGAGAGGCGAGAGTCACAGGTGGCTGTGGAAGCACCCTCAGGCAGAGGGCTGGGCCTGTGAGCAGCAGGAATGTGGGCCTGAGGTCACATCACCCAGGCCTCATGGCCAGGGTGACCTGGAGGCAGCCACGGGGCAGGGCGCTGTGGCCCACAGCTGCTGGTGGAGAGTGGCCTGAGGGCACCACGGTGGGAGGCAGATCAGGCCACCACAGTAACCATGGGTGAGTGGGTGCCCAGCCCAGGTGGTGGCAGGAGGGGGTGCGCGAGCGGAGGCGGGAGCCTGTACCTCCGGCTGTGAGCCGACAGGACTTGCTGACACGGTGGAGGCGGCTGTGCATTTGGGAAGACTCCGGAGGTGGGGACTGACACAGTTCTGTGCATCTGTTTGGTTTTGGGGTGGTCCTGGGGGGAGCGGGGCGGTAAACTGAAAGACTCAAGACATTTGAGCACGAGAAATAAGAGCTGCCCCGGGGTCCCTCCCGGACGGTGAGCCAAGGCACCCAGGCCCCGGAAGCAAGTCTACTCCCCACAGGAGCCTGGCAGCTGCCGCCTGGAAGTGATGCAGAGAGGGGCTCAGGCGCAGCTCGAGGACAGCTCATCTCTGCCTCTGCAGGACGCAGAGAACTCAGAGGGAGCCAGAGGCCAAAGCAGTGCCACCCACCCCTTCCCACAGAGCCACCGCGCAGCCTGAGGCAGAAGGCTGGGGCAGAGGGCACAACTCAAAGTGTAGGTCAGGTCTCTGAAGGCAGGACACCAGACCCAAAATCCCAGGCTCGAGGTAGGAAAAGGAAGAACAAGAGCCGAGTGGAGGATGGAGAGTGGGGCCGGGGGAGGGGCTGTCAGGGTGTGTGGCACTCAGTGGGCCCTGACACCTGACCCCCAGACCCCCTTCCAGTCCCTGAGTGACACTGCACCACCATCTCCAGGCTATGGTGGGCTCTGAAGCAGGTGCTCTGTGTATGCATGTGTCCTAAGACAGGCACAGGGTCCCATTGCTCCTGAAAAGGAGGTGAGGTCAAGAGCCAGACGGGTGCGGCTTTGAGTCCTGTCTCTGCTACTGTCTAGCCGCTGGGCTTTGGTGGGCGTCAGGATTAAATGAGAAGAAACAAGTGGAAGGGGCTAGCACAGAACTTGTGCTTGGGATCACGACCTGCACTCAGTGGTCCCTGACCTGGACCCTGCCTTCCCGTTCCTCCTCTCAGTGTCTGCTCTCCCGAGGCCTGGCATGGGTGTCTGGGTCTCTGAGAAGTGTGTGACCTTGGGTCTTCCATTTGCAACCTCACCTCTCCACAGGGGCCCAGGATTCCCCGACCCTGCTGTCCTCCCCAGGCTGACTCCCCCACGCTCTGAGTGCTCCTCTGTGTCTCTCTTCTGCCTCCCCATGGTTCTGTCCTCTCTCCACAGGCTCCCCTTCTTCCCAGCTTCTCTGCTGTGGGCTCTCCAGCCTCCTCACCTCCCAGCCTTCACCCCTAGTCCTGCCTGGCCTCACCATTGCTTGGTAGAATGGAAGCGTCCTCCCTTCTGGGGCTCCTTACTCTCCTCCCCCACTCAACTGAGGCTCTCCCCTGCCCACTCTGCAGTTGGGTCCCACTTCTACCACCAAACCAGTTCGGGCCTCAGGGTTG